TCAAATACACTCCATATCAACATATAATACCTACAACCATTTCACTAAAAATGTCTAATGGCAAGTAAGGTCGAACCACGCATTCAAGGTGAGTTTCTATTTCCGAACATGAGATTTAAAAATATTGATTTTGAGATTTGTCACGAACTATGGAAATGAAATTACAACTATAAAACTTTAAACACTTGAATAAGAAATTAAATGAGAATGAAACTTGTGGAAATAACTTGCATTAAATTAAATAAAACTTTAAAGAAAATTGCACAAGAAATTAAACTTTCAAAAACTATAACAATTTCTAATTCTCTATTTTCTATCTCTAACTTTTCTACTCTTCATTTGCCTCCGAAGTGTGCCTTTTATAGCCAAAGGCAGACACCTACTTATAAGCTGTGATGATGGGCTTGAACTGCTTCTTCCTTGCTTCACGCCACCTTTCTGCTGCCATTGACAATTTCTTACATTTTTTCTTTTCTTTTCTTCTTTCTCTCCCTCCTCATCATCACTCTCTCTTCATTCTTACTCTTTCTCTCTCTTCATTCCTACTCTTCATGTGCACCCACAAATCTTCTTTTCTTCTTTTCTTCTTTCTTTCTTCTTCTTTCTCTCTCTTCATTTATTTTCTAGATTACTCTTTTGTTATTTCTCTTTCTTCATTTCACTACATGCACACACATATACACAATATAACTGTTTTTTTTGCTTTTTTTCTTTTCTTTTCTTCTCATTCATACATTAACACTATAAACACAAAAATGAGCATATAAGAATGTTTAAATAATAAAATAGTCTAATTAAAAACTTATTTTGATGTATGAAATAAGAGTTTTGTGTATTTATCACTTGGTTTGGCGGGTTAGCACAATTAATGGTCATGTGCTGGTATCTTGATTCTCATGAAAGCTCTAGGGAACAGCCCAAATCCTACGGTCGCGGCTTTACGACGACTTTCACTTAGGTGAATCCTCCAAGGATTTATGTGACCTATACCCTGTAAGAGTATGCTTGCCTCGAATTCATTTAGGGCAAAGCCCTTCCTTAACGTCACATTAGAATAGTGATGCCATAGGGATGTGCAAGAAAGAATCTCATCGAGAAACCTTCTAAAAAGAGTGTTATCAACGAGTCACGCAGTGCAGATTGTTTCTACCCATTGAACCTTTCGTCATGTGATTTAAATCGCTAATCAGAAGGTTGGGTTGCCTCTATAGGTGACTCCCTTGGGGCTTAGGCTCATCCCCCTCGACATATATAGGACTATGTCCTAAGAAGACTCTTGATATTTTATATATTTTCTTCACAACTCAACTCTTGGGTTTATCTTTCTTTTACCCCATTCCTTTTTTTTTTTTTTTAATAAAATAATGCATCACTGAATAATACCTCGTTTGAGAAATTTGAGGTTGATAATTTGTTAGTTTTAATTGTTAGTGCATCCGGATGCATTTTACTTTCCGTGTTAGTTGTAATATTGTAATGTAGGAAGTGGCATTATGAAAAAAGATGCAAGTACACACAAACACACACACACCACATCGGATGAGAGAACCCGACAATCCCGTGCAATCTCCCTCTACCACACAAAACTTAAATTTTATTGAGTATGACCGGCCATGCAAAACCACTTGTTATGGCGAAGGTCCTATACAAGATTACATTTTTCCACCTTCGTCAACCTTGGTCATAAAGAAACAGAGACCTCACCATTTCTCTCTTTACTCTAGTGATGTCTTCCACCTTGAGGAGATGCTGCTTTGAAAATTAAAACTCAGTTGTATTGAGCTCCAAAGGCTCAGCTATTATCCTTCAATCTTCCAATACGTCAATTCGGTGAAAAAATTGATCAACAGTTTGGATAGAACTTCTACCTTTTATTCTTAGCTTTCGTTGATGAAGTCCTTCTTCCATGCATAATGACAACTAAATTGCTTCCTCTTCCAAACCACCTTCACTTCAATTTCATCCATTATCTGGTTTCATATTCGGACTTCTCATATTAAAATGCAAAATGCTCCAGCATTGTGAAACACACGTGCTGGAATTCTGAAAGTAGGAGGGGCTGCCAATTTAGTCCATTAATGACTAATAGTCCTTTGGTATTCTTCAATTCTGCCTTCTCTCATTTGGTTAAATCCTCAAGTGCCACACCCAAGGAAGAAAAGCTTCGGTTGAACTCAAGTGATATTCTCCAAGTCTTCTTCTATAATTGATCCTTTGCCTCACCAAGCAATTAATGGTCCTCTTAGATAATACACTGTTTGGCTTCCTTTTGCGACTGAACTAATCTTCATTAAAAGCTTTGATTATATATGGCTCCATCGTTAAGAAGATCAAATGGTCATGATTCCATTCTTCAAAATTTTGTGGTATTACACCTCTCATGAAAACATAAGTAAATTAAATACTAATTTATAATTACAAAATTAGAGAGAAATATTAAATTGATGTAAAGCCGAAACTGAATATTTTTTTTTTAATTTTTTATTTTTAAAAACAAAAGCTGCCATTTTATCAACCAATGAAGATATGGTAATTTGATTGACATGCATCAGTTTCCTAGTTTTCCTTTTTCCATTAAAATCATTAATACAACTTTTATGATTTTAGATATAATATATTCAAATCAAATTTATATAATAAGTCACGAAACAATTTAAATTTTCTTTGTAATTGAGCAAAGCACAAACTTTCATTTCTAAGTTAATTAAAAATTAATGCCACAATATGAACAAAATATATGAAGCACCAAAACAATAAGACTCCATTTAATGTTAAATATAACTCATCATAAAGTTTTTCTAATAAATTAATGATCGTTTTTTAAAAATAAAACAATCAAATGGTTTAAATTTGGAGTAACAACAAGCTAATAAAACCCCACCATTAATTAATTTTCATTAACTCCTTATGGTCAGAAATATAAATAAACTTTATGATCCTTTATACTATATTTGAAATGCTATCACAAGTAACTGTTCATATTTATAAATAATACACATTCATGGTTAAACGGCATAGTTAGTAAAATATGGTACGGAAAAAATACGGGTATGAGAATGTACAAGTATAATTCGATATTTTTTTTAAAATAGGTTTAAAAAATTTGGCAAAAAAATATGAAAACGTAAAAATACGAATACAGATACGTACGAGTATAATACGTTATATACACTAAAAATTTGGGATAAAAAATTCGGCTATACACATCTTATTATTTTCTTATATATCATATATTTGTAAGGACAATAAAAATATGTTACAAATAATAAAATAAATATATTATAATGGACACTATCGCAATAATCATAAAAAAAAAAATTCATAAGTATATAATGTGATACTCTACTAAAACATCTAGGGAGTGTGGTGATCTACAAGCTTTTAAAATAATAATAATAAAAGTACTAACAAAATTTAAAAGATCTCACAACAAAACAAAAAATCTATAAAGATCTACAAACATTAATAAAAACTTATGATTATTCAAGATTATAGTGTTCTACAAGTGTGTATATATATATATGTCTTTCATTACTTTGATTAAAAATCATGCATTGGAGTGACAACAATAAGAGTTAAAAAAAATATATAATAATAAAAATAAAAAAAAAATAAAAATTGATACCTTGAATGTAGAACAATTGAGTGAGAGAGTGGTTGCATCCTATCCTAAGATTGCACAACAAATAACATTATTTTGATGGTGTGAAAGATAATTGCTATACCACGTAAAAGAATTGAGTGAGAGAGTGGTTGCATCATATCCTAAGATTGCATAACAAATAACATTATTTTGATGGTGTGAAAGATAATCGCTATACCACGTAAAAGAAGGTAGAAAAGACGGTAGTTTGTGTTTCAGAAAAATACGTTATTAGAAACATGAAGTTCGTGAACGAAAAGAAAAAAATAATTAACTTACGAATTAAACGGGAGCAACCAAAATGAACTGAACCCCACACTTAATGAGACATAGTTTGTGTTTCTGTTCGTGTTTCTGTTCGTGTTTCATAGTGCAAAAATGAGGGAATGATTATTGGGGGCAATTGAGGATGCCAAAAATGACTTGGGCCAGGTATGATCCAGGAGTTTATGAGCGGGGCGGACAAAGACCATTGTTATGGACCGAGTCTTTACTAATCGAGCCCAGGGTGATAAAATTAAGAAAAAAGCCTGGTTCTGAACGAAAGGAGCTGAGCCCATAAAGAAGGAAGACCTAGAAGAACAAACTAGTTCAAGAAGTTAGTTAGAAAAAATTTAGGAGGTCTGTAACCGTCTATAAATAGGCTAAAAACAGAGAGAAAAGGGGAATTGAAAATTTTGAAGTGTGGAGTTGTTCTTTCTAATTTGAGAGGGAGAATTTCATGTATAACAGAATATTTTTCCTACGTACACGTTTAATTCGCATATCATACACGAATTAACTAACTAGGAATAAACAGTACAATCAATTATAATACTGATAATACAAATATTCTACTCACATGACATGAATAATTACAATATATATAGCCATTTAACAGGAACAGAGAAAAGCGCAGCAAGAACATCTTCACAAATTACCTTTTCCATAACTGTAATAAGTATAAAAACATTGAGAAACAATAGTAAAAAGTCTCACATATAGATAAGGATATGATTGTATAAATACATTCTGAGAAGCATATCTATTTTACGTCCTTTTATAATCACTCGGTACAGAAAGCAAAAAATTTTTTAGATTTTAAAACAATCAATTTTTTTTTTCTTTCTAAAATTAACTATGCAAAATTTCCAAATATCTATATCATAGATATTTTTGGACTCTATATAGGATAATTATGGTTTCAAATCTGAAATCTTTGATATTCGGACACTCAAATCCTCCTATACAAATAAACACAAAAAAAATCAAAGTGCCACTAATATCTGAAAAAGAGCTGAAAACGTTGCCGTTTTGTGTACAGTACAGCAGAGTCTGCGGACGCCAACACTTTCATAGATTTCATTTTAGTCTTATAAAATATCTTGAATTTTTTGTTCTTGAAGTTTCTTCATTTTCCTCTACTGAGAGGCTAAAACCTGTTCTCTCTCTCTGTGATCTAAACGAGGTACGTACTTAAATTACTTTATATTTGAAATAATTATTGCACTCTTGACACTTGAACGTAACAGATTTAGTATTGCCTTGACTTTTTCTTCTTCCTTGAATTCTTTGATTTGCAATAAATTTTATTAATTAATCAAGGTTGTTTAACTAATGATCCTATAGTGTGTATATGAAATCACCTCTAATCATGGCATAAGAGTTCTACCTTAATTTTCTATTCATTTTTAGTCACTTGCTCTTAAATTTCTCATCTGGGTATATATTGTGGTACAAACCCTGATCAAGAACTTGGGTGAGTATTTTGTTAAATTTGTGAATCTCCTCATATCTGGTTTCTAATTTCGTTACCTTTTGATAAATAATTGTTTTACAACTTTCGCATCATGCATCATAAGATTGTTCATGATTTCAGAAGTTCATTTCTTTTTAGATGCCTTTGTGGTCTGAAATGGAGAATTTCATAATAATGATCAATTTGATTCTTGTTCATGTTTCATACTTGATTTGAGCTATGGGTGCTTGAGTCAATGTAATGCATCGATCCATGGATTTTCCATTCGTTCTCACTTATATGGGCCACTATATTTTAGCTCTGTCCTTTTAATGGACTTGTGAACTAAATTATATAAGTGGCTCACTAACCTGCCAATCAAGAACTTTTGATTTTTGAAGTTAAATTTAATACTGAGTGATAAGGAGTAACAGAGTTCTAGTGCCAGATAATTTAAAATACTAGTTTATTTATTTATTTATTTATTTATTATTATTATAAAAAAATAGGTAATCTATTCATGCATACACCCACTATTGCCCCTAGGGGGACTGGAACTCTCAACCTTCCATTTTGAAGGAGGAGGAGATACCATTTGAGCCCGTTTATGAAGATATATGCTGCTATGTAATGGATGTTATACGCCTCATTTTCTGCGATGCTGCATAAATATGATGGTGTATTCTATGTTGTTTGTAACGAACCAACTACAGTTGCTGTAACCCATACAAGAAACAGATGCATGGGTTATTTATTTAAAAAGATTGAGCTAAGCGTTCTTTATATTTTATTTATTTTGAATCAATGGAATGACTAAACCATCTTATGCAGGAGCATGGCTTTCTTCATCATCCTTTCTTTTCTCATTTCTTCTTCTTTTGTTTTTTTCTTGGGATATTTAATATCAATCTCCTAGTTACTTCTCCATTCAACCAGGTCTGAAAGATATGGATTCTAGTGGATATATAGTTGAAGTTACAAGCCTGTCTCCGAAGGCGATAGAGAAGGATGTTAATGACTTTTTTGCTTTCTGTGGGACGATAGAACATGTTGAAATTGTCAGGTTGTATCACGCTCCTGATATGTATTACTTTGTTTACTGTTTGATGGCTGTTTCATCTTAACTTTCAAGTGCATCTTATATGTGTGTTTCCCTGATCATTTATTGTTTCTTTGATTCACTTATTGTTATTGAATTTTTATTCTTTTTAAAATGAATGTCCATCTGTCAAAATATAGAAAGAAGTGATCTCTTATTTTTGGTATAATCACACTGGATTTAATAGGATTTGGTTTAATCACACTAGATTTATTAGTATTAGTACTTTACTACACATGTTCATTACCAAGGAGGAGTATTCAAACCAGTGATGTCTCTATCTGAGGAAGCTTAAATGCTCACTGTGACAAGTTGCTTTTATTACATGTTTAATTAAGTAATTGTGTTTTCTTCTTTTAATTGAAGAATGATTATTGTGTTGGAAAAACAGAGCTGGCGAATATGCCTGTACGGCCTACGTGACATTCAAAGATGCTTTTGCTATGGAAACAGCAGTCTTGCTCAGTGTAAGTTTTGTCTTGTAACTATTTTTTTATATTCTTTTCCCTGTCCAGCATAAGTCTCCTTACAACTATTTTCATGGGATAGTGTAAACTGCAATGTGGTATAGGATTCTCGGTGAACTTCATAATGGGTTAATTAAAGAATATCAGAATCACGACTTCCTAAATTTCAAAATCTGGTATTTGAGCAACCAGTTACTCTTTTATTGCTTGCATCAGTACCACTGAATACCAGGTATGTATTGATTTACAGTATCAGGTTTTAGGAGTAATTCATTGTTTATATGTGAACTTTCATGTGGTTACCAAAGTAGCCAAGTCTTGTCATATGGTTGGGATGTGACTTGCGATGGACTTGGTCAGACTCGACTGAGTCTCATCCATATATTGGTATGACCATTTCATATGCGACTTTGCTGATATGGCGCTATACCAGCTGTTAGGGAGTAGTAGTGATGGTCCTAACAACTCTTCGGCACCCAAGATTTAAAAACCCCATTTTTTTCCCTTGTTACCATTGTTACTTCGTCATTGCAGCACATTTAGAGGCTAGATCTAGCCTAAAAGCTTAAGATCAAGATTTTAGCCAAAATCTTGTACAAAGTCCTCCAATACTTGAAATAATCATTAATTTTTTAAAATTATTATTATTATTTTTCTCACTTGGAACTAACATAAAATATGTTTTGATATGTATGAGAAACTTTGGCAAATATGCTAGGAAGCACGGACATGTCTAAATGGTAGAAGTGTCCGTAGGACACGCATTAGATATGGCCGAACATGTATCGTACACACCAAAGTATGTGTCTGAATATTTATTTTTCTGTTAGGACACGCTGTAGACACGCCGCAAAAATTTTTTGGACACACTGACACACCGCAGATGCGAGGGTCTGACTAAAAGAGGATTTCTTAAAAGAATTTGAAACACTATGGTTTAAACTATAAAGTATGTGTATTCTTTGAAAAGTTTCAATAATATGGAGGTCAAAACAGAAACATAGAAAGTTTTTAAAATGTCATTTATCAAGCAATGTTATTTACTTGATCTTTTTATAGACATTACCTGTTTGAAATTGTGAATGATCACAAAGAGAAAATTATAAGCATCTTGATTCGTTTGCAACGAAGTTTCAAACTTACTTGAACGGATCATCAAAACTTACTGCCAATGAACCTTCTTTTTCTTCCTGTAGAGGCTCACTTTTCTATTTTTATCTTTCATTAGTACATTATGTTTTCTCATAATTTATCCCCATATTTAAAGTCTTCAAGTTGCTATGAGTTATTCTATACTTATAAGCAGTATTACTTTTGGTTTCTCACCCACGCATTATTGGAGCATTCATAAAAGTACCCTGGTTGGCCATTGGTTCGACTTTCCTGGATCCATACTGCTGTATACCAATCCCCGCAACAAGAGAAAATTGAATCCAAGCACTTGTTTAATTCATAAAATTATTTTCAGAAAACTGCAACCTTAACAATGTTTTTGTTTTTCTTTTCCCCTCCACAACCCCTTAGTGAAAAAAGAAAGCCCTAATTTTTGAAAGGGTTTAAAAGTTATATCTCAGTTAATTCTCTCTCTCTCTCTCTCTCTCTCTTCCTTTTTCTTTTCCTTCATTTTTTATGCAACTGTAATATCTTTTTTAGCTATGGATTTAGATTACAGCAAATTTTACAAAGGCAGTTCAGAAATTATATTTCAGCCCATTCTCTCTTCTTTTTTCAATGAGAGAATTGTTGTTTTACTTCATTAGTTACTGTGATTTGAGTTTTATGCTTCTTAATTTGAAGAAAAATAATATTAATCTTATTACGGAGTATATATTATCATACTACACGTATATAAAAAAACATATGTTTGTTATTCGTCGTGTTTCTGCCGTGTCCATGTCTCAAGTTTTTAGGTTTTGCCGTGTCCATGTTGCGCGGTATGTGTCATGTATATGTGATTCTTAGTTAATGTGTTTGTATCCGTGCTTCGTGTCATGTATCATGTACATGACATTGATATGCTAGAATGGTGTTTAAATGTTTTTTTTTTTTTTTTTTTTTTTTTTTTTTTCCTTAATTGATACTCACACACGTATGCTTCCACCGAGGCTCGAACCCCTGACCTCCTTTTGGGAAGTAGGAGTCTGGTATTGCTAGACCATTGGCTTGTTGGTTGCTTAAATGTGTTTTATTTGGTAACATTTTATTTGTATTTCATATTTAACTTATTTAAGTACAATTGTGTCCATAATTCAAGTGAAAATTACCAGCTAATAAGCTTTTAATGCAAATGATGACTTAAAATTCAATATATACAGCTATTCATATAAAATCACCTTTAAATATTTTACAGAATCCACTACAAATGTTATAAACATATATTTATTTGTTTATGGAGTTAAAAGTTGCATATCAATTTGGTCTAAACCAAGGTGCACAATGTAAAAAGAAAAAGAAAAAGAAAAAAGATTCACAATTGTAATGGCTGCATACGTTGCATAACTGCTCTTATACCTCATATCCATTAACACTGCAGCTGCATCCTTGCATTTCGAGTCAATTTGTTTTGAGTAACTTATTATGGTAATTGTATTTTAGTTTCTCTTCCTCCTTCCTCCAAATATACATACATTGGAGTTAATTATTGTTCAAATAATTATATGTCTTAGGGAGCTACAATTGTGGATCAACGCGTATGCATAACAAAATGGGGACGCTATGAAGATGAGTTTGATTTTTGGAAGCGGCCTTCATATAATCTCGAAGACGAAACTGGTTCAACGGTATGCACCTTTTCCCGTTTTTCGTTTGTGCTGATAAATTGGCCTAGTGGTGGTCTATTATCCTTGTAACTACCAGAATATTTAGCCTTGTTTATATCAAACCTTTTTATTATTTTGGCAGTCCTCAGAAAGAAACCGATCTGTTCCTTCTGCTGGAGAAGCAATTTCAGTGGCTCAAGATGTAGTGAAAACCATGATTTCGAAAGGATACGTACTGGGCAAAGATGCATTGACCAAGGCCAAATCTTTCGATGAATCTAATCAAGTTTCAGTCACTGCAGCGGCCAAGGTAGCCGAGCTGAGCGAGAGAATTGGCCTTGCGGATAAGATATTTGCCGGGGTTGAAGCTGTTAGATCCGCAGATCAAAGATACCACATTTATGATACCACGAAAATTGTTGCATCAGCAGCGGGAAGAACAGCGGTGGCAGCTGCAAGCACTGTGGTCAGCAGCAGTTACTTCTCGAAGGGGGCTCTTTGGATGTCCGACGCTCTTACTCGAGCAGCGAAAGCTGCAGCTGATATGGGTAGTCATGATGTTCAGAAGTGAAACGTTGGGTAAACTAGGATACATCTTGTACATTATGGTTGTATAATGTTTTTACAGGAGCGCGACAGCATAGTTGAGTTAGATTTAGTGCAATGCCAATCATAAATTTGTAGATGTCCAAATTTGGCTTGGCAACATATAACCAGAACTTTAAAAAAATAAAATAAAAAGACATCTAAGATTATGGTTTCTATAATAGATTGTTGGAAGTTTTGACAGTTGAGATTAATTTTGCTCGTGCAAGTTTCAATTTTAAACAAGCAAAGCAGAATATCCAGAAATGCAGCAAGGAAAAACTGTCGGAATTGATCATTGTGTGTGTGTTCATATATATGGGTTGTGTCTATAATATTTTATTCTTGCTTACCCTCCAAAAGAAGAGAGATAAAAATTGAAAAAAAAACCTAAAATATTGTAAGAGCATATATACATATCTATATGTCTATATATATATATATATATATATAGAAACCCTTAAAATTATGAATTGAGTTTTAGTTATAGTAAAATTGTATAATTGAGTTATTTTACAGTATAAATATGGTAATTGTGGTATTATAGAAGTGATTCAATAAGGAAAGTATAGTACAATCTCAAGAAAAAGGAAAGTGGAGGGCGTAATGTGAATATCTCAGAAAAACTAAGTTTATTATATACACACATATGGAAGAAAGACCAATATTAAAAGGGCAGTTTTGCCTTTAAAAGGTTACCATTTTTAATGTCTAAATAAATAAGAAAAATATAATTAATGAGTTTTTATTAAATTTTTAACCAATGAAAGAAGCAATTGGAAATGAAAGAAGCAGTTGGGGATGAAGAGTCGCTATAGTGATTTTTGCTTTTATATCTAACAAACTATACTTGCTTAGATAGAAAGTTTCAAAGGTTTCAAATTCATTCACCAACTGATCAGATCAGTGATCAACGATGTTTACATGATCATATATATATATATATATATATATATATATATATAATATTGAAAATATTATGGCTTTGATTTTGGCGAACATCACTCGCACTCACGCTTGGCAATGATCTAATGGTGGTGAGGTGTATGAATCCACCGTATGCCAATTTTGATTAACTTTTGACTCCCCCAACAATTCAGTGTCGGTGGTGGGCCTCACGCTTCCTTTGTGACAAAGCCAATTCCATCTTTACCGTTTGCAAACACAAAGACCATTTCACATCAACGGTCCTGATCTGTGATCCATTTTGGTATTGCAAATTGAAAAGTCTACAGCTCTATGACCACGCGTTTGGACTTGTCTCCATTCTCAGACTTGGTTTGAACCACTTAAAAGCCTATTTATTTTAAACTAATACTTTTAAATGTGTTTAATAATCATTAAAAGTATTTTTTCATAATTATCAATTTTAGTTCGGTAGAATTTTTAAAAATTTAAAGAATTTAAATATTTTAAATAACTTTTTTCGTTACACAATTTTATCTTTTTTATTTTTTATAAAGAAAATTACACTATTATCAAATATGATAACATCTATTTAAAGAAAATTATTATAAAATTAGTAATTGAATTGTTTTTAAAAATGTTATTACTAAACAAATTCAAAAATTATTTAATTATTAAAAATATTTATTATAATAGGTCACAAAACACCTAACATGTTTGTTACTTATAATAATTTTTTGACAGTACAAAATAATTTCTTTTAATACTAACAGTAATTACAAACAGGCTGCTAACCACTGTAACTGAGTAATATTTTCTCATTTATTAAAAAAATAGTTGAGGCTTCAAGTTTTTATAAAGAACATGTGACGTGAGAATGCGAGTTTCACGTTTGAATAATTTAAAAAAAAGAATAAAAAGTAAAAAAATAAAAGAATTTTGTATAGTGTTGATTCTATGTCTAAAAGAATTTTGTATAGTGTTGATTCTATGTCTAATAAAACAACTTTGATGCAATAATTACATAAATACGCTAAATTTTCAATTTAATAGTGTTACAACTTAATGTAATATGAGTATTTCTATATAATAAATGTGCTACATAAATTTTTAGAAATTATTACATATGTATAGCATTTTTAATGTAATTGTGATATAAGTGTGTTACATTATGGTATAGTTGTGTTTTTTTTTTTTTTTTTGAAAATTGGATTCCACAATATTTAAGAGTTGTCCATTTACTGATTTTTGCTAGTACAGATTCAACACTGATTCTTGATTCTTCGTGTTGAAGAAGTAGGATGATGCTTCAAGCGGGCCCACTAGATCCGGATGTTCATCTGACGGTGTATATGGGCTCCAGTGCAGAACCCTTCATACAGCTGCGGTGCATCAATTACTGAATCGGAGACACGAAACTCGTTACTCCCTGCAAACTCTCATCAGACGACTCAAAAACTGATCACCCGTACCCGCCCGCCCAAATTCGATCTCCTCTCTCCTCTCTCTCACACACACGCACACAGAACATTGGAATCAGATCTTGGGAAGAAGAATAACTACACCACAATCACTAGGCGCAGCGTCAGCGTCAAATGCGCACACACATATATATATGATTGAGGGATTGATCCGTGGTTAGTGTTGGAGAAGATGGACTCGGTGTCGATTCGCGTGCCCTACCAGAATCTGAAACAGGCGGAAGTGGAATTGGTAGGTGTGGACGAAGCTCAGCTTCAACAGATCGAGTTGATTAAGAAGTCTAGGGTTTCTAATGGGTCATTCTCCGATCCGCCACTTACATCCCCGTCTCAGCAACCAGCCAAACACAGCAGTTTGATGACCTTGGTTCTGAGTTGTACGGTCGCTGCCGGTGTTCAATTCGGTTGGGCTTTGCAACTTTCGCTTCTCACTCCTTACATTCAGGTCATCTCTCTATACAGATGCAGATAATTTACAAATATGGATATTGATTTGTGTGATTTCGGATTTTTCTGTTCATGCGGTATTCTGTTTGCTTTTATGCAAAATTTGGGTCCTTTGTAAATGGTAGCTGTCTAATTGTTCAGATTTCGGATCCATAAATATTAATTTTAAAAGCTTGAACAGAATGGGCATTTAAATACGAATTAATTATGTAAGATTGAAAAGTTTTTTTTTTTTTTTTTTTTTTTTTTTTTTTTTTTTTTGTGGTTCTTTTGGAATTTGTGTTGGAGTCAATTTTATAGTGAATTCTTTTAGTACTTGATCAAGTTAACTGATGGAAAGAAGGAAAGAGATTTTGATTTATATGCGTGCATTTGGAATTTGAGCACATATATATATTTTTTTCCTTAGAGGTTGGGGTGGATATTTTATTAATTGTTATATTTGGTCCGGTTATTAGTGTGATAGAACAACTAGTAAATTTCAGGTGCAATCCACATTTTAAGAATTGATTGTGTAAGAGAAAAACAACGCTTAGACAGAAATTCACAACAATCTATGAACTAAATGAGAAAAAAAATTCTAAAATAAATTAGATCTATCTATATATGGCTGGAAAAGAAAAGCAACAAAAGAAGATAGATACCTAATGGGTAAGAATGATAAAAACAGTTTCAAATGTGATTCTGGAAACCAAATAAGGTTGTTTTATCCTTTTTGAACACATAGCGGATTGACTAAATAAGTTAGACATAAAAAAAGAATGCAACTTTTGTAAAGTCACTGGCTTTACAATGAGTGTGTATTTGGAAATTAGCCAATGAACATTTGTAGTTGTTTCTTGAAAATATAATGAGCTTTGTATGTATAGAAAGAATGTGACTTTTGAAAACTCAATTAATTTTGTGATAATTCATGAATAGAGTTTTTATTTTTGCATGCATGACTTTTGGGATAGGTCGTGTCCTTAAGAGGTGCTTTGATTTAAATATTAATTGTTAGTGAATCATTTTGAGTTCTTTTTCCTCTTTTGTTTTAAAACTAATGAAGATAAAAGTAAAAAAAGCCATGATTTGAATTTTTCCTTTTTTGTTCCCACATTTGCAATGCTATAAAATGGTTGAAAAATGTGGTGCATTGCTCTAATTGAAGATAACTTTAATTCTTCATTGAAAGGCATTTGTTGTATATGACTGAAATGAGCAAGAGCTTTAGATGATTTTAAGAACATTTGATATAGTATTGAGGGCAAGCCTTGGTGCAATGCTAAGGTTGCTTCATTTTGACTTGGAGTCGGTACGGCTGCGTACAACCCTCCCAGACCCCGCAATGGCGGGAGCCTTTTTTTTTTTTTGAGAGCGTTGGGCAATGGGTTAGCCACATTTGATGTAGTATTCATGTTACGCAAATAATTTATTATGCTTTGCATAATACATTGTATTGTGTAAACATGTGGTGCAAAATACTGCTAATTTGTCTAGGTATGTCTTATGCCATTGCATTTATTTGCGGTGATTCCCCATAATTCATTTGATCACTTTCCCTTACTTTTTGGGCTCTCCTTGGGATAGTTATTTTAATGGAAAGTGTCTATGCATTTAAGAGGAACACAAATTTGTATTATTAGCTTTTGATAATTTTTCTTGACAATTAACATTTTTGAAGATGTATACTTTAATATCACAATATCAAGCTTGATTTTGCAATTTTTCTTCATTTTCTTGTTGTTATTCATTTTCGTTACTAGTATATAAATCTACACGTGCTATTTACATATATTAAAGATACGTACATATGCATATTTCTATATACTACTATAATAATTTTTCATCATGTTCAGTATTCATTATTTGTAGTTTCTGTTTAGTGAATTCTGATTTCTTGGTTGGTTAACTTTGCAATTTTTATTTTATTTTATTCATTGATGCAGACGCTTGGAATAGGGCATGCTTTTTCTTCATTTATCTGGCTTTGTGGCCCTATTACTGGCCTTGTGGTAGGTGATGACTATAACTTTATTTTATTTGTCTTGAATATTGTCCAAACTCATTTTTAAGTTTGCATAATAAATTGTTGGCAGTGCCATTTTATCTTATTTGGTATAGGGTAAGTTCCTTTTATATTTGCGAGGAGCAAGGTTTTTACTTGTGACCCGCTATCATAATATTGTGATGTGGACGTTATACATATATATTATCTTTTATTGGGTAGATTTTAAGTCACAGCTATAGGGGACAAGTCTGGTATACCACATGGACATAGATGTGGGACATGGATTCAAAATAATATGTTTATATCCAAGTGACAATTCTTTAAAAGATGGACAAACCAATGTGGGGATGTCCATATAAATAGAAGTATAAATGATATATATATATATATATATTTTCAATTATTCAAAATTGTTATGACAAACGCAACAAACCTAAGATAAAATCAAGAATCACGACAAAAAAGTAAAAACACCACACAAAGAACACAAAGATCTATATGTGGTTCGACAATAGCCTACGTCCACGGTCGAGATTCGGTGAAAGTCTTCACTATGTGTAAAATCGGAGATTACAAGTTTTTAGCCCCACTCTATTTCTGTATGAATTCAAGAGTCTCTCTCTTATACCACTCCAAACCCTAAGCGCCTTTATGTATTGGGCTACAAGAGACTAATTAGGGTCCACGAACCGTGAGCGAAAAGGGGTCAAAATGTTTCCATCCAACGGTTTGTCGGGTCATAAGTGGGTCACAACGCGACCCAACATCAAATTCGGGCTACAACATCACAAATCTCCTCCTTGGCTCAAATTATGCCAAGCTCTACAATCTCCAGCTACTCCTTTCGCCTCCTCTATATGCCCCTAAGGGCCTTATCAACTGCAAGTACCAATCAAGTCCAGACTGTTTGGACTTGAGTGTAGGAATGAACTTAGTCATCATATCTGCCGGATTCTATGCTGTCCCAATCTTTTTCATTACAATAGCACCCTGTGCAACCACATCTCTGATGAAGTGAAACCTGACATCAATGTGCTTGGTCCTCTCATGGAACATCTGATTTTTAATCAAATGTATGGCACTCTGGCTGTCGTAGAACACAGTAAAATCATTTTGCTGCAAGCCTAAATCACCAACCAAGCTTCTCAACCATATAGCTTCCTTCACTGCCTCTGTAGCTACCATCTGCTCAGCCTCAGTAGTAGACAATGTAACTATGGGTTGCAAAGTCGCCTTCCAACTGATTGCACTCTTACAAAGAGTGAAGACATATCCGGTCAAGGACCTGACCTCCTCCTATCAAGATCTCCAGCATAATCTGAATCAACATATCCAGCAACACTCCCACACGTGTCTTTGCCTTTGTCATAGACTAACCCAACATCTGCAGTGCCACGCTCGTATCGTAATATCCACTTCACAGCTTGCCAATGGACCTTCCCAAGTCTATCCATGTATCTGCTCACTACACTAACTGCATGTGAAATGTTTGGCCTAGTGCACAGCATAGCATACATAAGGCTACCAATTGCACGAGCATAAGGAACACGAGACATGTGCTCTAGCTTCTCCTCGGTCTGTGGTGACAATCGTGCTGAAAGTCTAAAGTGGGCAGCCAATGGAGTATTCGCAGGCTTTGATGCCTGCATACCGAAGCGTTCCAGCACCTTCTCAATGTATTTTTTCTGTGACAAATACAATCTGCCCGCTCCGCTGTCCCTGTGAATTTCTATACCTAATATACTCTTTGCAGCACCAAGATCCTTCATCTCAAATTCACCACGAAGCCGAGCCTTCAACATGTTGATTTCTGACATGTTCTTGCAAGCTATCAACATGTTATTAACATACAACAACAAGTACAAATACGAACCATCTGAAAGCTTCCTGTGATACACATAACTGTCAAACTTACTCCTACAGTAGCCATTCCCAACCATAAATATGTCAAATCTCTTGTATCACTATCTAGGAGGCTGCTTCAGCCCATACAAGGACTTCTTCAGTACGCAAACATGATCTTCCTTTCCCATAATCTCAAACCCCTCAGGCTGATGCATATAAATCTGCTCTTCCAACTCACCATGCAAGAAAGAAGTTTTGACATCAAGTTGCTCAAGCTCCAAGTCATACAGAGCAACCATAGCAAGTAATGCCCCGGATCGAGCTATGTTTCACCACAGGAAAAAACAATTCATTGAAGGTCACCCCTTCCCTCTGTATAGCCCTTCGTCACCAAACGTGCCTTGTACATTGCATCTTCCACCCTTGGAATTCCTTCCTACTTCTTGAAGACCCATTTACAGCCCACAATCTTTTGGCCCTTTGGCTTCTTAACTAACTCCCAAGTTTGGTTCTTATGAAAAGACTCAATCTCCTCACTCATGGCAACGACCACTGTGCTGACTCTCCACTTGTGATAGCCTCATGATAAGTACACGGCTCATCAATATCCTCTACCACACTAAGTGCATAAGCAACCGAATCAGAATGTAAAAACCCATACTTCTCAGGTGGCCTAATATCCTTCCTAGGCCTGTCTCTAGTCACACTATACTGCTGTAACTATGCATCTCCCTCAGCCCAAAACTGCACCTGCTTATGAGTCGATCGAACAAGACTATCCTCTAACGGAACCTCTACATGCTCCACCTGCTCACTACACCTTGAGCATTCCCTGAATCAACTACCTCCTTCTGCGGAGTAAGCATTGCAGACTCATGAAAGGTCACATCCCTGCTAACAAGTATCTTCTTTCTCGAAGCCTCTGGGCACCATAATTTGTATCCCTTGAGCCTAGGCTGATAATCAAGAAATATGCATTTCTTAGCCCTCAGTTCAAGCTTCCCCTCATTCACATCAGCATACGTTGGACACCCAAATATTCTCAAATTACTGGAACTAGTAGGAGAACCATACCATACCTCCTCTGGAGTCTTACAGTCGATAGCAGTCGATGGAGACCGGTTCACCAAGTAACTAGCTGTAGAAACAACTTCAACGTAAAACCCTACATTGGATAACATATACTGTGCCCTCTTCAATAGCATTCTGTTCATCCGTTTTGCAATTCCATTCTGCTGCAGAGTCTTCCTCACTGTGTGGTGTTTTACAATCCCGTGAGTGTTGCAAAACTTATTAAATTCTCCATCATAAAATTCCAAGCCATTGTCTGTCTTCAAGCACTTAACCTGTTTTCCTGTCTGCTTCTCAATCAAGGTCTTCCACTGCTTGAATGTAACAAAAGTCTCATTCTTGTGCTTCAGAATATAAACCCAATCTTTCCGAGAAAAGCCATCAATCAGCGTCATCATATATTTGCCACCACTATGTGAAGTAACCAGAGAGAGACCCCAAAGATAAAAATGAATATAATCCACCGTACACTTGGTCCTGTGAATTCTTGTACTGAACTTCACTTTGCACTGCTTCCCAAAGACACAATGCTTACTGAAATTTAGCCTCCCAGTTTTCTGACCACCAAGTAAAACCTGCTTACTCAGAACATTCATCCCTCTTACTCATATGCCCAAGCCGTATATGCCACAATTTAGTAGTATCTGAATCCGGACTCAAGGACGATACAACAACTGAACCCGTTATTGTGCTACCCTGCAGAGCATATAAACCATGCTTCTTCAGTCCCTTCATCACCACAAGTGCACCCTTGGAAACCCGAATGACTCCACCTCCAGCCTTATAAGTGCACCTGATGGAATCCAGTGTACCTAGGGAAATCAAATTCTTTTGCAGTTTTGGTACATGCCTGACATCAATCAATGCCCTCATTATGTCGTCATACATCTTGATTCGAACTGTACCGATACCTACAACCTTACACGCCGCATCATTCCCCATCAGACCTTCCCCTCCATCAATAGATCGATAAGAGGTAAACCACTCCTTGTTTGGACAAGCATGAAATGAGCAACTCGAATCAAGAATCCACTCATCGCAAGAGCTGCTGATTAAAATATCGAGAACATTACCACCATATGAATCATTACCCTCTATGACAGTCACACTTTCAACTTCAGAGGATTTTACCTTTCCCTTCTTATGCTTCGGACAATCCTTTTTGAAGTGCCATTCCTTGTGATAGATGAAGCATCTCAACACCTTTGTTTTGTTCTTAGACTTGGAATGACCTTTGCTGCTAGACCCTCCCTTTTGATTCGTTCTCCCTCTAATAAATAGCCCCTCTGCCGAACTTTTTGTATTGCCCTCAAACGCCCTTTTCTGCAATTCCTTAGAATTCAGAGTTACCTTCACGTCTTCCATGGACAAAGCAGTTCTATCATACATCATTGTATCGTCAAAGTTCTCATATCAGAACATAACAAAATAATAGCCTGATCTTCATCCTCTATGTTGACATCAATATTATTCAAAGTCCATGATGGTACTATTTACCTCGTCAAGATAGTCTTTCAGAGACGAACCTTCGTGCATCTGAAGAGTGAACAACCGCTTCTTTAGATACAAGCGATTTGCAAGAGATTTCGTCATATATCGGGACTCCAACTTCTGCCACAGCCCATCCACCATAGTTTTTCCAACACCTTTTCGCAGAACCTCATTACTCAAGCACAACAAAATCGTACTGTGTGCTTTCTCCATAACCTCATCTTTGTCCTTGATCTTTTTTGGCAGTGCATCCTTCCCCTTCAGCGCCTTGAAAAACCCTTGTTGAACAGGTTTAAATCATTTCTGCCATTAAACTTTTCGATTTCTAGAAACTTGGGCGACATCCCTACTTCGAATCGAAAGTCTGATACCAGTTTGTTATGACAAACGCAACGAATCCAACATAAAATCAAGATTCACGACAGATTAGTAAACACATCGCACAAAGACTTATACGTGGTTCGGCAACAGCCTATGTCCACGGTTGAGATCTGGCGAAAGTCTTCACTATGTGTAAAATCAGAGATTACAAGTTTTCAGCCCCTTACTCAGTTTCTGTATGAATTTTAGATTTTCTATTACACCACTCTAAACCCTAAGCGCCCTTATATATCGGGCTACAAGAGACTTGTTAGGGTCCACGACTCATGAGCAAAAACACGTCAAAAATTTTCCTCGGGGGCAAGCCCCCTTTGGCCCACACAAAGCTCATCCAATGGTTTGTCAGGTCATAAGTGGGTTGCGTTGCGACCCAACACCAAATTCGGACCACAACATCACAAAAATATCTAACATAGATGTGGAAAGGCGGAGGCAGTGCTAAAATATATGTTTATTGTTGAGTCTTTGTTTGGGGTGCTTAATGAATGAGTTTAAAGCCTCTTTTGATACCTTCAAAAATGGGTTTCTTGCATGGATGGAAACATTAGACTACATATTAACTGTAAATAGTTCGATTACTAGGAATTGAACCTTACTAAATGATGTTGCATGGACAAAGAGGACACAGAGACCTTTGATCCGAATCCTCTCCGATTTCTTAATTGTCTTGTGGCACTTGTGCTCATCCTGTGCACTATTAAATTAGTAGTGCAACACATATTTGTGCAATACACTACATCACATATGCAACACCCTTGCAACAACGATGTAACACTCATGCAACACATTTACATTGGCAATGCAACATATTACATCGTGTTGCAGTGCTGCTAGGGATGGCAACAGGGCAGAGTTGGGACAAGTTTGGCTGAACCCTACTCCGCCCTTCGTCATACCAACTTTGCTCCAATTCCAGGACGGCTTTGTAATTGCTATACCATGCCCGCCCCTACTTCGGCAACGAAGTACCGACTCTGCCCCACGTATTCCATTTAATTGCAGGACGGGGCGGCTTATGCGACTTTTATTATTTAGTAAAAGAAAACTAGCCCAAAGTGCTTAAATTGGGTTGATAAATAAGCTGGCCCATATTTTAAATTACTAAGTGTTGAATATTAATATATTAACTCACACTTCCGGAAAAGTAACAAGGTCTTAAAAATATTAAATATATATGTATATAAAAATTTAAAGTTTCATATATAATCGGGGTGGGGGCGGGTTCATCACTAAATCCACCCTCGCCTCAGACCCGCTTTGGGTTTTCAATTGTTTTACCATACCCATCTCAAACCCATTTAGGGGCTACCAAATCCGCCCCATTAGGGGTGGGGCAGAAACCGGCCGGGTAGGAGGAAATTGTCATCTCTAATTACTGCAATACTATTAAATCGAGAATTGAACACCTTTGTGTAGTTGTTGCTTCTTTGTCAATTTGAAGTTGTTACATTAAAGATTTAAAGTTGTGTTCTCAATTTAAATGCCTGGACGACATAGGACCTAAATTTGCAATGCAGAGGATCTCGATCTATTTACCACCTCCTATTAATTTGTAAAATCAGTTAAGAGCCTTGGTATTTATCTATTTCCTTGTTTATTATTATCTAATGGGTTTTCCATGCTGTAAATCTTTTTTGGAATGGTGGAAGATCAAATGGTGTATAGAATGATGGATGGTAGCTTGGAGAGTGGTTCCTCATTCTGTCTGTAGGATTAATTGCAGTATTTAAACCTGTAAAATTCAAAGATAGTTAACCACATTGCGTTTGGTGGTGTATTTGGAAGGAGAGAAATATTAGAATGTTTGAAGGGAAGGAGTTGTCTACGGCGACATTGAAACTTGTTATTATTCAGCCTCTCTTTAGTTATGTGAAGAGGAGTTCTTGCTCCTCTTCTGATGATTTAACTACTTTTCTGGATTCTTTGGGCCATAGACTCCGGTTCCTCTAATGTTTAAGGGACGCGTTCCCCTTTTGAACGCCTTTTTAATTTATTATTACTTATAAAAAAAAAAAAAAAAATTCAAAGATAGTTAAAAATAGTGACTTAAATAGATTGTTGTATTTATTCAAAGATACACAAGAAACACTTACAAGTTGCATTAATTTTAATGAATGTCATTCAAAGCCGTAGGCTATATGGGATAGTAGGGCCACAAAGAATGGTCAAAGTTTATTGTAGACTGGACCCCCTTCTTAGATCCTTTTTTTCTTTCGTTCTTCTTTATCCATCAGTCTTGAAACCTTAACCTAGGGCTTGGGAGTTAAGACCAGTCTCCTTCTTAAATCTTAAGACACTCTTGCTTTGTGCCATGATTAGAAGTATGATTAATTCATAGATTTAATGGTGTGACGACCTCTGTGGGCGGGTGTGAGACACTGGGCTGGCTGGCTACGGCCTGGGGAAGGTGAAGGTGAAGGTGAAGGTGAAGGTGAAGGTGAAGTGCTATATGTAGGTTTAACACCCTTCTATGATACAACGCGTTTTAAAGCCGTGATGGCCATGAACCCATCAGAATTCCGCAGTTAAACGTACTTATGTAGGAGTAGTGCCAGGCTGGGTGACTTACTGGGAAATCTGGTCCGGGGGAGCCCAAAGCGGACAATATTGTGTCGGGTAGGGTGAGGGCTATTACACATGGCTTCTTTCATCGTACATATTTTCTATCTGCTTGGAACAAACACTTCATCAACCAGATACGTGTACCGAGGTGCACTGAAACAAACACTTCATTAATCAGATGTGCGTTGAAAAACCAAATTCTTACAAGGGTGGATTTGCCAATTCTTTGTTGAAGGCACCTTTTGCCTTAATGACACTAAGAAAAGAAGCAGCAGAAAAAGGTGCATCTTAGTTCTTAGGTTGGAAAGATTTACAATTCGGTTGGTTGTTGTCTGATATACTTGATATGGTTATTTTATGCTTAGTTTCCTTAGCATATCTACGGTATTATTTCAACTTTTACGCTCCGTTTGTTTGGATGTAAAATATTTTTTAGAAAATATATTTTTATTTTTTGGTGTTTGGTTGTCGTAAAATATTTACAAAGGAAAAAAAAATATTAAAACCTAACAAAAATAACTTACCCATCAATTTTCGGCAAGTTATTTTACACGCCCCACCCGATAGACTCGACCTCAACCTCGACCTAGACCTTTCTAAACACCGGAATATAAAAAAAAATAAAAAAATTATTTTACCTGAAAAAGGATAATATTTTCCGAAGAAGATATTTTATGTCGAAACAAACGGAGCCTGAATACATTTCATCAATTTATTCTTGTCCTTCTACTCGTTGATTTCTGTCATATAGTAAGATGCTCTTAAACAGTTAATCAGTTTAGAAAGCTTTAGTTAAATAAAACAATTTCTGTATATGTATACTTACTGTTGGTTCTAATAAATTTGACTTTTGTTTTTTACCAGTTTGTTTGCTTTTCTGGTCTTTCAGGTCCAACCTTTCGTTGGTATATGGAGTGATAAATGCCATTCAAAATATGGAAGAAGAAGGCCATTTATTCTTGTTGGATCTCTCATGATCTCAGTTGCTGTGAGCATCAATGAGCCGTATTCATTTTTTCAGTAGTTTTTTTATAGTTTGCCTTTATATCAGCTAAACTAAAGTTTGAAATTTAGGTGATAATTATCGGGTTTGCTGCAGACATTGGATATTTATTAGGGGATACAAAAGAACATTGCAGGTTTCTGCTTCCTTCTGCTGATTATTATTATTTTTAATGCTACAAAAAAAAAAAAAAAAAAAAAAAAAAAAAAAAAAAAAAAAAAAAAAAATTGTTTAACCAACTTATGCAAATGCAGTTTGTATAAAGGTACTCGAACAAGGGCAGCTATTGTCTTCATCATTGGGTTTTGGATGCTGGATCTTGCTAATAATACTGTGCAGGTGAGCTTGTTAAAATTAATAATTCATGCTCCACAACTATCAGATTAAAACCTCTCTAAGTTATTCACCATATACATGTGGGTCACACAAACATAAAATATTTATTCTTTGCAGGGCCCGGCTCGCGCGCTTCTGGCTGATTTATCAGGTGAACTAACCCCACCACCATCCCTCCTCTCTCCCCACCCCAGCCCGTGGGCGCCTTTTCAGTACTGTTAACTCTGACATAATTGTCTTGTTGTAGCAAGTTTAAAGTTCTAATGTCTTACTACTTGTGATAGGCCCGGATCAAAGAAACTCAGCAAATGCTATATTTTGCTCGTGGATGGCTGTAGGAAACATCCTGGGGTTTTCTTCTGGTGCTAGTGGAAACTGGCACAGGTAAAATTTCTCCTGAGCAGCTTTGTTGGAATATATTAATATTGTATGTGAATGCACTTGTATATGTCTATGTGGTGGTTTGGCAATAAAGTGTGCCATACTTCTTTTATTTCTGTCACTCTTTTTGGAGAAATTATTACATGGTCCCGGGCCAATCATCTTGTGACACATCAGCAAATGCGTTAGAGATGTGTTAGCTTTAATCAGCTTTTTGCTGATGTGTCACATGGTGATTGGCCGGGACCATGTAATAATTTCTCCTCTTTTTGTCAAAATATGTTCTTAATATTGAGACATCTCAACTTACAGATCAAAATTTGCCATTTGAGTGTCATAAATTCTGCTTCGCCTCAATTAACAATAAATATCTGTAGTTCTCTCCTAGGGTTCTTGAGTTGCATAAACTACCACAAATAACAATAAACCGCTTTGTTGGCGATTGATTCATCTGACAATTCGTCTCTAAGCAGGTGGTTTCCTTTCCTGAAGAGCGTAGCTTGCTGTGAAGCCTGTGGAAACCTTAAAGCAGCATTTTTAGTTGCCGTGGTGAGTTATAAATTAGCGTAGAATCCACACAGACACTCACACATATGGAGTTATCTTTGGTATTTATGTATTTCCTATACTTGGACATATTTGTAGGTTTTTTTTGTGTGTGTGTGTAATGAAATACATGTCTATTGTGGCTTGAATTGTGAAATGTATTAATGTTTTGTTAGTATTCACCATATAGAAAATAAACACGAGAAGTATCCTATATTCTTTTTCTTCCTGGAAATTATTGATCTTAAATCAGTATGTTCATTCCTCTTTCATTGCTGGATGGATTTGCGTAATTATTAAAATCGGTTTTCTGTTTTGTTTTTAGTGATCAATTATGAGGTGATATTATTATTTTTTTCATTTTTTATTACTATGGAATGCTTTGAGTAACATAATAATTTTTGTTTAATGTGACCCTATTGAATGGTTATGATTAGTGACAGAATAATCTGAATCTAGATTCATTTTGTCATTACAATATATGATATATGATGCTGTCTGAACATATTATATCCATATGGTTAAGATTAATGCTTTGTTAATTTGAGTTGAGTATCTGCTTGTTATATGCCAATGGGCATATGATAGGGTATATTTGAGTTTGGGAAACATTTATATAACTTCCGAAATATTATGTTGTGTATTTAAATCAATTAACTTAATTAATTCTCACGTCTACTTTTTCTTTGATTGAGATATTTCAATTGCTATACTCGAGTTTAGGCTCCGTTTGTTTCGACGTATTTTATTTTTTAGGTAAAATATTTTCTTTTTATTTTTTTATTTTTTGGTGTTTGGCAAAGGTCTAGGTCGAGGCTGAGGTCGAGTCCATCCGGTGGGGCGTGTAAAATAGCTTGCCGAAAATTGCTGAATAAGTTATTTTTATTAGGTTTTAATTTTTTTTTTTCCTTCGTAAATATTTTGCGACAACCAAACACCAGAAAAAAACAAAAAATATTTTCCGAAAAATATTTTACGCTCAAACAAACGGTGCCTTAGTAGCCGGGAATTTTCTGCTATCATATACAACTTTTAGCATCATATACTACTAATTCAATAATGTTGTCTGGTACTTACCAAAAAAATGTCTGGTGTGTTTGCAGGGCTTCCTGACTCTATGTACACTTGTGACTCTCTATTTTGCCAAGGAGATTCCATTAACCCCAAAGCCGCCTCAACGTTTGTCAGATTCTGCTCCACTCTTGGATGATCCTCAACAGCTTGTTTTTGACCTTTCAAAATCACAGACTGATAATAATAGTGTCACTGAGAATGCAGTGGCGAAAAGTTCTGAAGATGGTTACGAAATGAATAGAAATATAAACAATCCAGACTCTAAAATTGAGGAAAATGGAAATGAAAGTTTCAGTGATAGTCCTGGAGCAGTATTGGTAAATTTGTTGACCAGCTTAAGGCATTTACCTCCGGGCATGCATTCGGTGCTAATTGTCATGGCTCTTACCTGGGTAAGTGCTTCATTGTTATGCAACACAATTGATTTCTACAACTAGCTGGTGTTCTGTCAAAACAGCCTTGAGTCGTTTACCTTGTCAGTGATTGTGCGCGCGCGCGCACATATTCCATATATGTGGTTATTGCTGTTTTGAACTTTTATTTTTTCTCATGTTTTTAGAAATTACTCTTACATGCAGCTGTCCTGGTTTCCCTTTTTCCTTTTTGACACGGATTGGATGGGGAGAGAAGTTTATCACGGGGACCCGAAAGGGGAAATGTCTGAAGTTCGATTATATGATCAAGGTGTCAGAGAAGGTGCATTTGGTTTGCTATTGAATTCAGTAAGAACTCAAATTGAGCATCATTAGGATTAATTTTTGTAGATTTTGGACATAGATAATCAAAATGATAGTTAGATTTTAACTATGAATTGCAGGTACATGGATTGGGTTTATTTTATTATGTGATGTTCTCTTGATAATTTTTTCATTAATACTTTAAACTAATACATCTTTTTTGCGTAGGTTGTTCTTGGCATCAGTTCTTTCTTAATTGAACCAATGTGTAAGCGGATGGGTGCAAGACTAGTTTGGGCAATGAGCAATTTTATCGTGTTTGCCTGCATGGCAGGAACTGCTATCATAAGTTTAATTTCAGTGAAAGATTATTCAGAAGGGATTGAACATGTAATTGGAGGAAAAGGAACAATTAAGATTGCTTCCTTGGTTGTTTTTTCTCTTCTTGGCTTTCCACTTTCTGTAAGTATATTGCATTAGTGTTCTAGATTCCTTTCGTGTAGCTTTTCACACCTTCACCTTATATGTATTTTATAAATTGTTCATGCACTCAGAACATGGAATTAATTTTCATTAACTGTATGCTTATTGCAGGTCACTTATAGTGTTCCCTTCTCTGTCACGGCAGAATTGACCGCTGATACTGGAGGTGGCCAAGGTTTGTATAAAACTTATATCTGTTCCCTTACCTCTTCTCTATTTTTCTTGTCATCTGATTTAGCAGCTTAGTTGTGATTCTGAAGAGCTTTACATGTGTGCAGGGTTGGCGATTGGAGTTCTAAATCTTGCAATTGTTGTACCTCAGGTAGTTAAATGCTGTCTTTTCCGCTTCAATTATTCTCTCTTTTGGTTGTTTAATTTTGTATTCTTTCGGCTATGTTGGAAGAAAGCAATTTCTTTAAATCAACAACATAATCATTTATGTCGTGTAACTAAAGTAAAAGTACATGTGCTACGAGCATTTTATGAAAACCAAATAAATAAATAAAATACCAATAGGCAATAGATATTGAAGGAAAGTAAATGTGTGATTTTTCATTTTTATGAAGTCCCACTCCATTTTGGAAAAAGTAAACATGTAATTAATTATTCATTGAAAATGTTTATAATTTAATTAGCGTACTTTAATTTCTCAAATTGAAAGGGACTTATCAAAAAAAAAAAAAAAAATCTCAAATTGAAAAGGAATGTAGATGAATGAAACAAATTAAATATGCGATTAATTATTCATTAAAAATTGTATACAAACTAATTAATATATATTAGTTTTCGAAATAGAATGAGAATATTGATGGACACACATTAGACCAATAGATATTGAAAAAGAGAAATAATGTCTGTTTCCCAAATAGAATAGGTATGCGGATAGACATACATTGTAAAAGTCTAAAAAAGAAATAATGTCTGTTTCCCAAATAGAATATGTATGTGGATAGACATACGTTATAAAAGTCTATTATAAAGTAAAAGCAAAAATTGCAAAAACCCTCTTAGACTTTGAATTTTTTGGAGGGTAAAACTATTAAATCTGCATAAAAACCCTGAGGTTTCATAAAAAAGTTGCATATTCCCTCTTGCCATCTGTTGTCTGTTAACTAGGGAACAGAAATAATGTCAACCAAACAACAAATAGTAAATGACAGTCTTATCCTTTTCACAGATATAAAAGCCCTTGGATTATTTTGCTCTAATAGAACTAGGATTTTTTTTTTTTTTTTGCTCTAATAGGATTTGGATCCATATGTTAACCGGAAATTGAAATGGCAACTAATCACCCAAACTTATATACAAACCGACTCCCATCTCTCTCCAATCTTTTTCTTCATCTAGCAGAATCTTGGGTTCCAAAAATAGAAACCAAAACTCAAACAATTGAGTCACAAATTGATTCCTCAACCATATGTGGAGGCCATTGACATTGGGTCCACCAAAGATGACCGTCCCCTCCTCAAAGTCGGCCTCCCAGTCATCAGTCCCTTTTGAGAATGTGGTAGACCTTGCGAAGAAATTTACTGCTGTATGGACCATGGGAAGCGGCGAGCTGCTGTGGATGCAGAAGGTCCTGCTCAAAGCTGCACTCTTGATGGTTGTGCGGATCTGCATAGGTGTCTCGAAGAAAGAATGTGTAGTCATCAGAATCACAAATCTTCAATTCGAAACTAAGAAACACATTGTCTATGTGTCTATGGACACCACTGTACTGAATTGCTTGTTGGAAAGCCTCTTCCATAGCAGATGTGAGTCAGATTGCAAGGGTGTATTATTGGGGTGGCCAAAGTGCATTTTGGTGACATTTCAAGAAAAACAACAGCAATTTGGATTTTGATGGAGCAACGGAGGCAAGAGAAGGGAAATTAGGGTTTACAAATAGTTGTGGCAGAGGCAAAGGCTGGTGGAGAGAGGCCTCTCGGCATGTCTGTTGGCGGTGCTGGTTCTGATGCTGGTTGTTGTTTTGGATGGTTTGGTGGTGGTGATAGTGGTGGTTTCCATAGGGCCTTGTGGTCATTAAAGAACACTCGGGTGGTGGAGTTGAAGAGGTCATGAGCATTTGGATAAGGTTTAACGGATTGAGAGCGGTAGGGTTGGAGATAAGAGAGTGTATGTATAAGGTCTCTTTCTCAAGATACAGCTGAGCTTAGAAAATCAATTGTTACGACTGCTCAGCAAAACTGTATAAGCTATCCATAATAATCAGTGTACATGGCGTATGCGATTGACTTTTACAAGAGAGTTGGGGATGTATCAATATGTGATTTGATGTATTTTGTATTACAGAGTTGGGAATGAATTGCTTTGATGTCCCAATAAACCTTATAAAAACTGGGGCTTTGTGAGGCTGAGTGGTGAGAGGGTTGAGTGTGTTGTGTCATGAGAGTTGAGAGCCGTGAAGTTGTCCAAGAAAGGTAACCAAATTAATGAAATGTCATCTCAATATGGGGTTTTCCGTAATTTTTAATTTTCTACCTTTCTTTGATTTATATAATAATTATACATTTAAGGGTAGATAAGTGACCAACCCAACGAACGGTCGGAAGATGACAATGTCTTGATTTGTTAATTTTTATAGTGTAGGGGGCTTTCTGCATTGGAAGGGGTTATCTGCAAAATTTCAATAGTTTGGGAGATTTTTTTATTTTAATTTGCCCTAAATTAATTTTTTTTTTTTTTTTTTTTTTTTTTTTTAGAGTGATGAGAAGTTTATGAAAATGCAAATTACTAGATCTGGTAGAGCTATAATGTTAAAAGAAAGTAATTAGGTGATTAATTATTAATTAAAAAATGATTGTAAAAAGTAAAAATGAGATTTACATTTGTATAGTAGTATAGATGCTTTAAGTTGAGATCTTGATCGTTCTTGTTTGAGGACAGATTTTGGTGGATTACATTATTTGTGCACACTTATTTCTAATCTGTGCAAGTGGTTTGTCTAGATGATTGTATCTCTTGGTGCGGGTCCATGGGATGCTTTATTTGGTGGAGGAAATATACCTGCATTTGTTCTGGCATCATTGAGCGCCCTTGCAGCTGGTATTATTGCAACACTCAAGCTGCCAGATCTTTCAAGCAGTTCCTACAGATCAACTGGTTTTCATTTTGGCTGACTTCCTTTTCTCAATGAGGCGATGACCCACTTCTAGTCCATACGATCCCCAGCAACCAACGGACGAAACAAAGCGATAACTTTCCAGAAAAAGATGGTTCCGTTGCCATGCGTATCCAGTATATTTCTTATCATACAAGAGTTTCACACTTCATATTCAGATTCATTCATTTTCCCAGTTGGGATCCGTAGTAAGTTGAGTGTAAATCGTAAAACCTTTACTTAGAGCATACAAGGATGTGATAGCAAAAAGCCTTTACTCTCTCATTCTTTGAGAGGATCCTGAGGTCGGATCCTCATAATTCCCTCACTTCATTGGTGACATGTTTCCTTCAGTATAGAAATGTAATTCGATGAGCTTGTACTATTAAATAAAGCATTTATTTTGAATGGCTTGATTCTTACTGTGATCTTTTCTTTGATGAGATAAAGACAATTATTCGTCTGGTTGGTGATTAAGCTGGTTGGCTAGGGTATTACATTGGAATGTTGACATAGCATGCGAAAGCGATCAGGGCTGGCTGTATTAGGATTTTTTTGGTTGAAACTTGAAACGCAATTGAAGATACGGTAGAATGTCTGGTGAGATGGTGATTTTTTCTTTCTGACATCCAAATGCTCCAAGTGAAGAAGAAATGTGTTACGTCTTCTGGGAACTCGGATCCTACCCCCCTGAAATATACTTAGACCCTGTGCCTGTAGGATGATCTCCCTCCTTTTCGTGCGTTGAACTGTCTAGTGCACAAGAGAGGGTAGGAGGATCTCCCTCCTTCTCGTGCGATGAACTGTCTAGGTGCACAAGAGAGAATTAAGGTTTGCCTTTTGTGTGAATTGGGTACGCGAGCCTGGAAATTCTTTGATACGAACGACTAGAAATTCCTAGACTTAATGCTTGTGCTTCTATAGTTAAAACCTCTTATAGCTCAAATGGATTGGTGTTTTTCACATAGTTGTGGTAAAAACTAGACTTGTTTAGTGTGTACCCGCAGCGTAGGCCAAAGCTACGCTACCTGGCAGCCCTCCTAGAGATTGATATACAGGTGGACCAAAAAACTTGGCTTTCACACGGTGTTGGTATGTAATACGGTGATAAAAAAATTGATCTTTGATCAGTTTTTAAATATATTATGAATCTAAACGTAATAATTAATATAATATATGAGTTTGTTTTACAAAACATAAAACAAACATTCTTAGTCATTTAATATATTTTGAACTTTTCTCAACAATTATGTAATTATATTATTATTGAAAAGTTGTATTTTAAGGTTAAAACTTGTTAAAAATAGGTTTTGAAGTATTATGGAATAGTGGTTCCTTTTATATTTTTTGACAAATTGCACATAACCCACATAATTGTACCTCAAGTTACAAAAAATTCCTGGTAACTTTCAATTTTGCATTAAACCCCCTTGTAATATTCTGTTTTTGACAAATTACCCCTTCCATTAGAATGTTGTTTAAAAATAGCCCTTAGTTCGCGTGAATTTCATCTAACTCTTGTGCAACACCTCCTGAAGTATTACCCTTTTGTAACAAATCTAATGTATTATTTTGAGCCAAAAACCCTCATCCTTCAAATTCACATGACGGTTAAGTCTTCATTAATTTGTAAAATAAAATTATGAAATTGCCCCTAGTATGAACTACAGAAAAAAAAAATTAAATAATATGTAAAACACCAAAACAACTCCAAATAAAACAATATGTTGAATGGAGTTAATTGATTTGTGTCCTTGTTGGAAAAAGTAGGACTTTAGTGATAATTTCCCATATAAAGGAAATTTACTACCACACACACACACAGACACACATATTATTGAATTTCATGACCAACCTTTTACCTTTCACTATCTAGAGTGACAAGATGAATAAGGAAAAGTAATGATAAGATCCTGGGCGTCAAAATTTAAAAAGAAACTTTTTTGTCCCATTTGTTATATTGTGATATTATATTTTTGTGTCTAATACAAAAATTGAATCGAAAAATTGGTTATCCGAAGATTTGGAGTCAAGCTATTGTTTAAACTGGTTATCTGAAGATTTGGAGTCAAGCTATTGTTTTGTACCTGAAGTCACCCCCAGCTCTATCTTAAAACCACTGCCCATAATTGTAGCTCTTTCACTTCAACTTCACTTGTTGCCAAAGAATGAGGTTTTCAATATGGTTTTTCCTGATCACTACACACTCAATATTCTATATTAGTTTCGTTCCCATTGACAGCCAATGTTTAGACCACCAGAAAACTTTGTTGCTCCTGTTAAAGGAAAACCTCAAATTCAATTCTCCACTTTCAACCAAGCTGCGGCTCTGGAATCCTAGTACGGATTGTTGCGAGTGGGGTGGTGTAACTTGCGACCATATGGGTCATGTTGTAGGACTAGACTTGAGCAATGAATCAATCTCTGGAGGAATCCATAATTCAAGTAGTCTTTTCAGTCTCAAGTATCTTCAAAGTCTGAATCTTGCTAAGAACTTCTTCAGCTCTTTGGAGATTTCATCAGGATTTGAAAAGATAACTAGATTGACATATCTGAATTTGTCATCAACCAACTTGATGGGGCGATTTCCTATTGGAATTTCGCACTTGACAAGGTTGGTCTCATTGGATTTATCTCGGAACAGATTTCTAGAACTAGGCAACTCAAATCTAAAATTGCTTGTTCAGAATCTCACGAAGATCACAGAACTCCGACTTGATGGTGTAAATATATCATCCATGGGAGAGGAATGGTGCCAAGCCATATCTTCTTCACTACCTAATCTTCAAGTCTTGAGCTTGTCTCGCAGTCATCTCTCAGGTCCTCTTTGTTCTTCTCTTGAGAATCTCCGGTCCCTTTCAGTGATCAATTTGAGTGGGAACAATTTGTCTGCCCAGTTCCAAATTTCTTTGCAAACTTCACCAATTTGACAGAATTATCTCATGGATTCTAATTTGCAAGGAACATTTCCGGAAAACATTTTCCACGTACCAACTCTACGTACACTTGCTGTAGGGGGCAATGAATTTCTTCAGGGCTATATTCCAGAATTTTCCCAGAATACATCTCTCTAGACCTTGTTTCTTCAGTACACAAATTTTTCTGGTAGATTACCGGATTCTTTTGGTAATCTTCGGATGTTGTCCATGATAGATGTTTTTAATTGCAGATTCACTGGACCGATCCCAAGTTCATTGGCAAACCTTACTCAACTTGTTCATTTGGATTTGGCTTACAACATGTTTATTGGTCCAATTCCATCATTTTCGAAGAATCTCTCCTACATATACTTATCCCATAATTCACTCAGTGGAACCATTCCATCGTCTCTTTTAAATCTTCCATCACTGAAACATATTGATCTTTCATTTAACAAATTTGATGGTCAAGTTGACGAAATTTCTAATGCTTCCTCCTCTCTACTAGAGATCCTCAATTTGAGAAATAACAATTTACAAGGGTCGTTCCCATGTCTTTCTTTGAGCTCTGAAGGCTTACTGAACTTGTACTCAATTCCAACAACTTCAGTGGCCCATTACAATTGGAAAATTTTTATAGGCTGCACAATCTTTCTTTCCTTGACCTTTCATATAACAACTTGTCTATACATACAACAAGTGGCAGTAGTTCAAAATTGTTTTTCATCCCCCAGTTTGAAGGATTATATTGGCTTCTTGCAAGCTGAAGAGTTTTCCTGATCTGAAGAACCAATCACTGTTAATTGAGTTGGACCTTTCCGACAACCAACTTGAAGGGGAAATTCCAAACTGGATTTGGGAAGTTTCGAATGGTGGGCTACTTGTTAGGAATATAGGGTTCACTTACTTGAATTTCTCTCACAGTCTCTTTTCTGGTTTGCAAGAGCCCTATGTTTCTCACACTTACCTCGCTTTCTTTGACTTACACTCTAATCAGTTTCATGGGGAAGTCTCAATACCTGGAGTGTTAGCTGAATTCATGGACTTCTCAAGCAATAGTTCCAGCACTTCTATCCCTAATATGATTGGTAGTTTCCTCGCCAATGCTTATTTCTTATCTCTTTCAAATAATAGCATCATTGGAAACATTCCTCAGTCAATATGCAATATGAGATTAATTGAAGTTCTAGATTTGTCTGAAAATCATTTGAATGGCATGATACCATCATGTTTGATCAAAAGTGGTAGATTTCCATGCTTTTTGGAAAACATATCTAGTCTACATGTTTTAGTTTTGCACTCTAATAGGTTCCAAGGAGACATTAACTGCCAAGGGAAAAATAATGAAAGCTGGTGGAATCTTCAGATCATTGACCTAGCTTTCAACAATTTTGGCGGCGATCTACCTTCAAGGTATTTCTCAAATTGGAAGGCAATGATGATTGACAATGATAATGTTCAACCAAAGTTAAATAATCTGGGGTATGCATTCGGATATGATTCTGGGTTGATTCTAGGTATTATTCAAGTCGAGTGAATGTCATCTACAAAGGAAATGAGGTGGAGTGGGTGAAAATTTTAACCATCTTTACATGCATTGATTTTTCAAGCAATATATTTGATGGGAAAATACCAGATACTGTTGGAAATCTCAAATCACTTGTTCTTCTCAACTTATCGCACAATGCCCTCAATGGCTCAATTCCAGCATCATTAGGAAACTTGAAGAAGCTCGAGTCATTAGATCTTTTCCAGAACATGCTGACAGGGATGATCCCTACACAACTTGCAAGTCTCAATCTTTTGTTTGGAAGAATTCCGAAAGGTTTCCAGTTTCAAACATTCTCAGAAACATCATTTCTAGGGAATCCAGGACTATGCGGCTTCCCCTTGAACACGAGTTGCAATAATATTGCTTGAGATTCACCACCAATATTCGGAGGTGGGCATTGAATCTTGGAGACAGAGGTCTACCTAAGTGCAGCACTGGGATTTATCGTGGGCTTAGGAATCATCATCTGGCCACTTGTGTTCTGTAGAAGATGGAGACAATGGTACTACAAACATGTTGATCAAGTTTTTCTGAGAAGAATAATACAGACAGGAGCTTACAGAAATCCAATTCGAATGCTTGGTGGGTGAAGAGAAGTGAATGAAGTAGAGTGCTTGGGATGAACTTGAAGTCTTTGCTTGAGTCATTCCAATGGTGAGTAAAATCAATGATCAATGCATATGGTAAGCTTGCAATTAATTGTGTAATAAGAGTAAGCTATTTAATTGAAGCTGTTTTAATATAACATATATGATACTGTTGAATAACTGTCTAGATATTTGGGATGGTAATCTTGTTACATACTTGACATTTGTTTCAGTTTGTTTGATATAATCCCTGAAACGTATTGTTGCTTTGTGGAGGGAAAAATCCCCACCAATTATACACACCACATGGCAGCAAAAGAGCAGCCCGCGACTAAACTAAAAATACCCAGAGGCCCACTATCAGTTGGAGGACCAACAGTAGAAACCATATGTACATACCAATTCAACCCAATTAAATAAAGGAAGCTCCACTTGACATAAAAGCCGAATGGACGGCCCAATCTCAACGGGCCCATAAGTCCATAACGCTTGCCATAATGATATGTACACGATCAGTAGGTGTAAATACTCACGTTTGGGAGTAAAAGCCAGGAAACGGCTCCATGTAAATCTTTAAAAAAAACTTATAACTAGAGCCTGAATGAGAATGAAGAGGCATCGAATTCCCATCATTGTTCTTCTTTTCAAAAATTACTTATATCTCATCAATATTTTGCACACTTCTTCTCAATTTATTTCTTTAAGTGTTCGGGTGTAAAAATTTGCACCTACACTTTGGCGCCGTATGTGAGAATTTGATACAAAACATCCATTTTTCCACTGCTTACATGCAACTCTAATCCAGAATGGTAAAAGGATCAGACACCGCACAGCCGCAACAACTAAAGACAGGCACGGACCTGCCTGTGGACCAGGGGGGGCGAATGCCCCCTCTGAAATTTTTTTTTTTCCTATTATATATTACACTTTTTTTTAGAATATATATCATGCCCCCCTGAAATTTCACAAATACCCCCATTATTAAGTTCCCAAAATATATACTGGCCCATCGACCTTTTCTCCATCGACCTTTTCTTCTCGTTGTCAGAGCTTCTCTTTCATCCTCGGGACCTCGCCTAGCCCTTATCCGGTCGCTTCTCTCTTCAGTCTTCACTGCTATTATTCCACAACTTTGGTCTCTGATCTCTCAACTTTTACACTGCAAATCGAAGGTATTTCAACTGATCTTCTTCTTTTTTTATTGGTTCTCAAATCTCAAGAACTGATTATTTGCTCGATTTTGGTTGTTGATTTATCATTTATGTGTTAGATTTCTGTTTAAAATGAGAATTGATCATTCGTTTTCAGCCTGTAATCTAAATTCGTATGTTGTTTACTGCTTAATCGTTCTTGATTTTGTTAGTGTGATTTAGGTTATGTAACTTATGTGCCTTTTCATGCTCTTTCTCGTCTTGAAACAATTAATTGACTAATTAATGTGTTAATTGCTAATACAACAACAAAGAAATATATATAATGAAGATTCAAGAATCGAAGAAGATCTGTTGTGTTCACTTTAATTTTTTTATAAATTACTTTTATATAATAAATCAAAATAATACATTATGAGCACCCACCGTCTCAAGAAGCCACAATGAAATTAGTGTTTATATACTTTTTACTTTAATAATAATAATAGTATATAGAGAGAGTCAGACCGTCATTAACTTAAAAGGAATAGCTGTAAGTCTCAACTGGCTAACAAAATATTATGTAAACTCTGTTATATGTACATAAGTTTGTGTGTCAATCAATGTGGGAAGAAAACTAACATCCATGAATGTGTTGAATTGTTCAGATAGGCAATGCATATGTAGACTATGAAACAGAATACACAGGATTAGAGACTGAGAGAGAGTACATGATTTTATTGCCTTATAATTATATATCAGTCTTTATAATTTTTTTTTCCCTGGAAATATCAGTCTTTAATGGGCTTTCTCTCTCTCTCTCTCTGGACGACACACACATGAGTCACATGACACATTTACATTTCAGTCTGTCTAGTTTTATGCTTTATTTACATTTTTTCATGCCTTGCTTTTTACTATCTAGCTTTCTTTTATTTTATTTGTACCTTAACTTTAGTCCATTAATTGCACCTTTAATTAATTTCATTTACTTTCATTTAATGTAATTTCTTTTATTAGCTCCCAACCTCTTGCAATTCTATCTTATAAGAAATTAATAAAATTTATATTTCATTAATTTTTCTACTCCATTTGAATATATACACACATACATGTATACAAAACTTAGTTGCTTTGTATTTTCAATTGAGGAGGCATTAAATGATACTGGGAGTCTGGGAGTGTTCAGTGTTGCAACTTACAAGATTAAGTTCTTTTGTATAGGTACTCCCTTTGGTTTATTTTTTCTAATAACAACGCATATGCAATTTCTAAATGTTTAATTTCTTTTTTTATTTTTATTTTATTATAATGCACAACAACACAGGCGCACAATCTATTATAATATGCAATTTTTGAATGTGTTTATTTTGTTGATGGGAAATTGATCACTAAGAAACCAAACTAAATTGTCGTCACTCTCTATAGGAAATTGATCAGTAATGGACAAATTTGTGACAAGAGGGTTGCCACCATCTCTAAGAAGAGATGATGGCTCTTCAAAGATAAGTGATGTAGAGATCAACCTTGAGGATCTAGCTGCAGATCCTGGACTACGAACTCCGATATTGAATTACCATCCCGATATTCGAGATCAAATTCGGAGAGCATATTTACTAAAGGGTCCTTGCCAACCTAAAAAAATATCATTTTCCTTATAAGAGTTATGGGCAATGCTTACGACGATTCAACCCGGCATGGTTTGATGCCTTTTCTACTTGGTTAGAATATAGCAAAGATAAAGATGAAGCATATTGTCTATGTTGTTATCTTTTTAAACCAAAAATCGGAGAACAATCGGGTGGTGATACCTTCGTGAGTGAAGGATTTTCTAATTGGAAGAAGGGTTTGGAAAAACTACAAAGCCACATTGGAGGTCCAAAAAGTGCCCACAACCAATGTTCGAGTATGTGCCAAGCATTAATGAAACAAAAACAACACATTCAATCAATTTTCTTCAAGCAATCAGAGAAGACACGAATTGCATATCGAACACGATTGATTGCATCAATTGATTGTGTTCGACATCTTTTGCGACAAGGTCTTGCATTTCGTGGTGACGATGAAACTGAGGATTCAAGCAACCAAGGGAATTTTCTCGAGACATTGCGATTTCTTGCGAATCATAATGAAGACATTAATGCGGTTACATTGCAAAATGCTCCTGAAAATCACAAATTAACGGCACCTAAGATCCAAAAGGACATTGTTAATGCCATTGCATTGGAGACTCTCAATGTTATTATCGGAGATATTGGTGATGCTTTTTTTTCTATTCTAATTGATGAATCTCGGGACATATCAACAAAGGAGCAAATGGCTTGTGTTTTACGGTATGTGGACAAGAATGGGCATGTAGTTGAACGTTTTGTGGGTCTAGTGCATGTTTCTGATACCACTTCCATCTCACTCAAGAAGGCGATTGATGCTTTATTTTCTAGACATGGGTTGAGCATTTCTAGATTACGAGGGCAAGGTTATGATGGGGCTAGTAATATGCGAGGTCAGTTCAATGGTCTCAAAACTCTCATCTTGAAGGAGAATGAATGTGCTTTTTACATTCATTGTTTTGCCCATCAACTCCAATTGGCTCTCGTGGGTATGGCAAAAAAACATGAGGATATTGTTTCTCTCTTCACTTTTGTTGCTAATCTTATAAATATAGTTGGTGGTTCATGTAAACGTTGTGATATTCTTCGAGAGAAGCAAGCTTCTATAGTTACCGAGGCACTTAACAATGGTGAGCTTTCAAGTGGGCAAGGCCTAAATCAAAACACTTCTCTTAAACGAGCTAGTGATACACGTTGGGGTTCACATTATGACACTTTGATTAGCGTGACTATTATGTTTTCAGCTATTGTTACTGTACTTGAGACACTTGCAGAGGATGGGTCATCAGAAAAAAAGTTTGAAGTAAATCTTTTATTGGAATTTATACAATCCTTTAACTTCATATTTTGTTTGCATTTGATGAGAGCTGTTTTGGGAATTACAAATGATTTGTCAAAGGCACTTCAAAGGAAAGATCAAGATATTGTGGTTGCTATGTCCTTGGTCAAATTAAGTAAGGTCCAATTACAAAGGATGAGGGAAAGTGGATGGGATTCTTTACTCAACGAAGTTTCTTCTTTTTGTGTGAAACATGACATTCCTATTCCTAATATGGATGATACATTTCTACCTCGAGGAAGACTACGACGTAAAGCTCATGACAAGTCAAACTTGCATCATTATCGTGTTGATTTGTTTTATTCCATCATAGATATGCAACTTCAAGAGTTAACTAGTCGTTTTTCTGAAATGAGTTCCGAGTTGTTGCTTTGTGTGGCTTGTTTGTGTCCGGATGATTCATTTTGTGCTTTTGAAAAGCAAAAACTAATCCGCCTTGCTCAATTTTATCCCAAAGAATTTTCTTCACATGCTCTCATGAGACTTAGTGATCAACTTGAGAATTATATTGCGGATATGCGTTCTAATTGCGAGTTTGAAGGATTAAAAGGGATTGGTGACCTTGCGAAAAAAATGGTGGAAACCAAAAGAGACAAGGTACATTCACTAGTTTATTTGCTTGTGACATTAGCGTTGATCCTACCAGTTGCAACTGCTAGTGTAGAGAGGGCATTTTCTGCTATGAATATTGTAAAGAACCGATTGCGCAACAAAATGGGAGATGAATGGATGAGTGATAGCTTGATAGTATATATTGAAAAGGAGATATCTAGTGGCATGGATAATGAAGTTATCATACAACGTTTTCAAAATATGAAAAGTCGTCGGGGACAATTGTGAATGTGCTCAATGATTCAATGAACAAAAAAAATATTTTTGCTTATTATGATGATCTGAATTGTAAATGTGTTCAATGGGATCCTTTTGTTGTTTTTGGGACGCGTTCCCCTTTTGAACGCCTTTAATGAATTTGCTTAATTATTAAAACAAAAAAAAATTTGTTATTAAAAGGACGCCCCCCCTGACATAATTTTCTGGGTCCGTCACTGACTAAAGACCATGCAAAAAATACGTGAAGAGATGCAAGTACAACTTGACGTCCTTTGACAAGCCAACGAAGTCAGTACTGAACGGATCAACGCACTCAGACAAGCTCAGGAAGCCAGATGAAAAGAATCCTTGCTCATTTGAATGACACTCGGATGAAATTTCTAAGAAGAATCTTGGGTAACTGATGTTCCAAAGAAACAAAATTGCATTATTGCCATCGAAGACTTTGACCCGCTAATACAAAGACTTGGAGTCAAGAAGAAGACTTGGAGTCAAGTTCTTACTCAAAAAACCCAGACTTTGAATGAAGTTCATATATGCCAGAATACAGTAGTTAATATGGTCCAAGTCCTGACGACAATCCTTTCATTTGAATGACACTGGGATGAAATTTCTAAGAAACTTGGCCTTAACTTAACAAATGATCCAAAGAAACAAAATTACATTATTGCCATCGAAGACTCTGACACTGACCTTGACCAATGATTTAAAAATGGGTGTTATGAGGTCATGGATGAGTTACAATAACCAATATATATATATATATATAATGAATAGAGAATATTAAGATGAGATTCTCAACATTTGCCATTAAAATTAAATAATATAATTCAAGCGGAATTACACAACACATGGAAAATTAATTAAACAACTCATGGAAAACTAGTCATAGAATGTTAACAACATAGAATAACTCAATAATATAAATTAAGAAAGAAAAACAACCACTTACATTTTCTCGAAAAAAGGAAAAAGAAAAAAGAAAATAATAATAATAAAATTAGTATAAAAGAATTGATCTTAATAAAAAATATTAGGCAGTGTTCTATAATTATGTCTTCCTTACTTGTAAATATTAATAGTCTTAGAATAATTCTAAAATCTAACTCATATCTAACATTGCTCTAAAGAATGTAAAAGCTCATCTCCATGAAGAGAAAATCTTTTTATGCCCGTTATACGATGCAAGAGCACATTCAATCATTTATTATTGAGCGTGTAATACATTACACACTCTTCGCTCACGGCACAAAGAAGTTTTTCAGATATATTGTAGCACTCTACCCCTAGACCTGCCACAGTTCCAACAAGCGAAACATAGTCATCTTTCATGGGTAACTTGGGTAACTGATGATCCAAAGAAACAAATAAATAAATAAATAAGTAAGACGATGAAGAAGACTTGAGTCAAGTTCTTACCCAAAAAAACAAAAGGCTTGGAATGAAGTTAATTCATATATGCCAGAATACAATAGTTAATGGGTCCACCCCAGCTCTATCTTAAAACCACCACCTGTTACAATACTTCTTCACTTCGTCTTCCCTTGTTGCCTAAATATGAGGTTTCCTCTATTCCCATGGTTTTTCTTGATCACCACACACTCAATCTTTATCACTCCAATATACACCCAATGTTTAGACCATCACAAAACTTTGTTGCTCCAGTTAAAGAATAACCTCATATTCAACCCTTCATCTTCAACCAAGCTGGTGCTCTGGAACCATAATATGGATTGTTGCGAGTGGAGTGGTGTAAAGTGCGACAATATGGGTCGTGTTGTTGGTCTCGACTTGAGCGATGAATCAATCTCTGGCGGAATCCACAACTCAAGTAGCCTTTTCAATCTCAAGTATCTTCAAAGTCTGAATCTTGCTAAAAACAGCTTCGGCTCTTGGCAAATTTCATCTGGGTTTGAGAAGCTAACTAGTTTGACATATATGAATTTGTCATATGCAGACTTGACAGGACAATTTCCTATTGGGATTTCAGGTTTGACAAGGTTGGTCTCTCTGGATTTCTCTGGGAATTACTACTTAAAACTTGGCAACTCAAATCTAAAATTGCTTGTTCAGAATCTCACGGAGCTCACAGAACTCCGTCTTGATGGTGTAAATATATCGTCCAAGGGAGAGGAATGGTGCCAAGCCATATCTTCTTCACTCCCTAATCTGCGAGTCTTGAGCTTGTCTTTCTGTGATCTCTCAGGTCCTCTTTGTTCTTCCCTTGAGAATCTCCGATCCCTTTCGGTGATCGATCTGAGTCATAACAATTTGTCCGCCCCAGTTCCAAATTTCTTTGCAAACTTCACCAATTTGACAGAATTACTTCTCTGGTATTCTAATTTGCAGGGAACATTTCCGGAAAACATCTTCCATGTGCCAACTCTACATAAACTTGACTTATCAGACAATAAATTACTTCAGGGTTCTTTTCCAGAATTTTTCCAGAATGGATCTCTCCAGACCTTAATTCTTAGACACACAAATTTTTCTGGGATATTACCAAATTCTATTGGTAATCTTCAGATGTTGTCCACGATAGATGTTCGGAATTGCAGCTTAAGTGGAGCAATCCCAAGTTCAATGGCAAACCTTACTCAACTTGTTTATTTGGATTTGTCATACAATATGTTTATTGGTCCAACCCCATCATTTTCGAAGAACCTCACCGACATAGACTTATCCCATAATCTTTTAACGGGTACATTTCCTTCCACCCACTTTGAAGGCCTATTGAATCTTGTTCTGCTTGATTTAAGTCATAATTCGCTCATTGGAAGCATTCCATCATCTCTATTAGAACTCCCATCTCTGATACAAATTGATCTTTCATTTAACAAATTTGATGGTCAAGTTGATGAATTTTCTAATGCTTCCTCCTCTCTACTAGAGTTCATTGATCTGAGTAGTAACAATTTACAAGGGTCGATTCCCATGTCTTTCTTTGAGCTCGGAAGGCTTCTTACCCTTGTGATCAATTCCAACAACTTTAGTGGCCCAATACAACTCGAAAAGCCCAACAACTTTAGTGGCCCAATACAACTGGAAAAGTCATTTAGGCCGAACCTTCTTTATTCCCTTGACCTTTCAGACAACCAAATTGAAGGGAAAATACCGAACTGGATTTGGGAAGTTGGGAATGGAAGTCTCTCTGACTTGAATCTCTCTCACAATCTCTTGGTTGATTTGCAAGAACCATATGTTTTACACCCCAACCTTGCTATCCTTGACCTACACTCTAACCTGCTCTCTGGAAAAATCCCAATACCAGGAGAATCAGCTCAATACATTGACTTCTCAAGTAATAATTTCAGCTCTTCTATCCCTCCTACTATTGGTAGTCTCCTCACCTATGCCTCTTTCTTCTCTCTTTCAAATAATAGCGTCATTGGAAACATTCCTCAATCGGTATGCAATATGAGATACCTTCAAGTTCTAGATTTGTCTAATAATCGTTTGAGTGGCACAATACCATCATGTTTGATCCAAAGGAGTACTAGTACTCTTGGAGTACTGAATCTGCAAAATAACAGACTTAGTGGAAATGTTTCGAGTATTTTTCCAAACAATTGTAATCTACAAACTCTGGATCTCAGTGGTAATCGTTTGGAAGGGCAGATTCCAAAATCATTGTCAAATTGTAGAAGGTTGGAGGTTTTAAACCTTGGCAATAACATGGTAAGTGACAGATTTCCGTGCTTTTTGGAGAACATATCTAGCCTACATGTTTTAGTTTTGCGCTCTAATAGGTTCCACGGTGACATTAACTGCCAAGGGGAAAATAATCAAAGCTGGTGGAATCTTCAGATCATGGACCTAGCTTCAAACAACTTTAGCGGCGCTCTATCGTCAGGCTTCTTCTCAAATTGGAAGGCAATGATGATTGACAATGATAATGCACAACCAATGTTTAATAATCTGGGTTATCCGTTAAATGGTGGATACTATTCAGATCGAGTGAATGTCATCTACAAAGGGATAGAGGTGGAGCTGGTGAAAGTTTTAACTATTTTTACCTCCATAGATTTGTCAAGCAATAGATTTGAAGGGAAAATACCAGATACTGTTGGGAATCTCAAATCGCTTGTTCTTCTCAACTTATCGCACAATGACCTTGAAGACTCAATTCCAACATCGTTAGGAAATTTGAAGAAGCTCGAATCACTTGATCTTTCACTGAACAAGTTGACCGGGATGATCCCAACACAACTTGCAAGTCTTACATTTCTTTCGGTTTTGAATGTGTCATACAATCTTTTGGTTGGAAGAATTCCGACGGGCTCTCAATTTCAGACATTCTCAGAAGCATCATTTCTAGGGAATCCAGGACTATGCAGCTTCCCTTTGAACACGAGTTGCAGTGATACCAGAGTTGCACCAAATTTCGAAGATGGGCATTCAACCTCGGAGTCGGAGGTCTACCTAAGTGCAGCATTGGGATTTATTGTGGGCTTAGGAATTATCATCTGGCCACTTGTGTTCTGTAGAAGATGGAGACGATGGTACTACAAACATGTGGATCGAGTGTTTCTAAGAAGAATAATACAGAGAAGAGTGTACAGAAATTCAATTCGACAGCTTTAGTTGGTGAAGAGAAGTGAATTAAGTGAAGTGCTTGTGATAAACTTGAAGTCTTGGCTTGAGTCATTCCAGTGGATGGAGAGTAAGATCAACTATCAATGCATGTGGTAAGCTTTCAATTCATTGTTTAATAACATAAAGGTATTTAATTGTTGTTGTTTTCATATAGATATATATTGCACTATCTAATAATTGCCGAGATGTTTGAGATGTTAATCCTATTACATATAGTTTATTTTGAGATTTGTTGCAATTTGTTTCATATAATCCCTAAAATGTACTCTTGCTTTATAGCCTTATAGGGTTTGAAGTTTGAACTGCTTGCAGGGCTGTTCAATTCAATGGGAGTAGGAATTTCTTTTTCTTTCTTTCTTTCTTTCCTTTTTTGGTGGTTGTTTAGGTAAGCATCAAACACTTATTAATCTGAATTCACAAGGTAGCAATAAAAGGAAAAAGGAAAAGGAATCAAAGATATGAAAAAGAAATGCTGATGATCTGAAATCATTTTGAAGTGTGAATTCTCTAGTGTATGACGCGAAGTTGTATGGTAGGTGACTCACATAGGTGGTTATATGGTAAAAACCTATGCTCCTAAATTTTAAATGTAGATTTTCTTCTTTAATCTCTTGCCATATGGGTTGGGTTTAATTTTATATTTGTGTTTTGAGATTGGGGCGTCTCACAGATGGGTATGTTGCTTTATGGATGTTGGGTCATCAATTGCTTTGTAACACACACACACACACACACACGTGTGTGTGTGTATATATATATATATATATATATGAACCCAACAACACACCTGAGCAACAGACTCATTTACTATGTTGCTGGGTTCATTTCTCACAAGCACTTTGTAATTATACAATATACTGTAATGATTGTCTTTAAATATGTATTACACAATATATTTTTCTTGGTTGTGTAGTGGAACTCTCATTTTCAATTTCATTGTCACTCCTAAATTTAAATATATAGTCTATTTGATGGAAATTGCAACTTTAGCATATAGGGATGAGAAATTGAGGTAAAAAGAATGGACAAACTGGTTCTAAAATTAATAGACAAAACTATTAATTTAAATATAGAGTCTATTTGATGGAAATTGCGACTTTAGCATATAGGTATGAGAAATTGAGGTAAAAGGAATGGACAAATTGGTTCTAAAATTAATAGACAAAACTATTAAGTGTTACTTTTCCCATTGAAAAACAACTACTGATTGCGATTTGGTGGCGTTGGCGCAAGCTCGTGTGCTCAATTATATTTTTCAAAGTTTTAGAATGAAAGGTAGAAATACTTTTAATGGGCAGGAATTGGGTAGTTGAAATTATAATGGGCTGGACTGAAATTTGGAATGGGCTTGCGTTTTGACTTTAAACTGAATAAAATTTTGGATTGTCTCGGGCTGGATTAAAGATGACTAAATAGTCAAGTGGGCTAATCTAATATTTCATGGACTCAAAGGATATATATATATATATTCAGAAGCCCTTAATCAAAGGAGGAGTGGAACATAGAGATGTTTGAACTCGGTTTGTTTAATAAACGGAGCATTCACTAATTTTTTTTTTTTTGTTTTTTGTCTACTTAGTTTGGTAACTCACATGATTATGTCTTTACTGAGATTTGAATCCCTGATTTCATTTTAAAAAGTAAGAACTTGATATCGTTGGGTCACTAGCCCGTTGATACTAAATCTTTAATCTTTCATGTATATTTTTAATAACTCTTGGTACGTTAGATTTAAAATTTAGACTCAAACTTCATATTTACCCTTACAAAATTCAAAATAAAATTGAATTTAAAAATACATTTATTAATGTTTTTTATAAAATAATTAATCTTTTGCACTAAAATCTTGTATTTTACACTAGAGCTTTTGAATTGAATTTAAATTAGATTAATTATTGTTACTTTTCCCATTGATAGCGATTTGGTGTTGTTGGCGCAAGCTAAAGGTAATGTATATAACAATTGATCTCTAACTCATTTGAACAAACAAAAAAACTTCATGTACCAACTGAAATGAAGAGTATGAGTTAAAAAATCTGCTACTAAGAGCAAACAAAGTGATGACTAGTAATTTAGTCTTAATTTCAATGGTAAAGCAACTGATAGACTGCTTTTACATTGTGTGCGGGTAAGAGAGAGAGAGTGTTCAATCTTGTTCTTCAGAAGCTTCACGGCTATGAATGCACCACAATTTCAAGAAAACAAACAAAAAAAAAAAAAAAATTATAACTTTGGATGGCAGAAGAGATTACAATCAGGATGAATAAACAACTCCAAATAAAACAATATGTTGAATGGAGTTAATTAATTTGTGTCCTTGTTAGAAAAAGTAGGACAAATTTACTACTAAGTCCTACTATATATAGTATACTGAATTTCATGACCAAGCTTTCACTCTCTAAGACAAAGATGAATAAGTAAAAGTAATGCTACATCCTGGGCGGCTAAATTGAAAAAGATTTTTTTTTTTTTTTTTTTCTCTCGCATTTGTTATGTTGTGATATTATATTTTTGTGTCTCAGACGAACAACATATATCTTATTTTAGTTTTTTCCTTTTTGTCATTTAGTTCTTTCCTGCCAACATTTTGAACTCTTGAATTAGAAGGGATGCTCATTAAGTCATCACAAATGCTACACGACAAGTTAGAAAACTCTACCAGCAAACAGGCGAACAAAGGATTTAGAAGATTCTTCCAATGGTTTGTAGTAATTAAAATTGTTAAGAAAGGGGGATCGATTCCGTAAACGATGAGATCAGTAAAAGAGGCAATACTCAATTTTTAAAGAACAATTTACTTAACTGTAGTTTGATTTCCTAAGAATAAAATCATCTACGCTCTCAAACAATTTAGCAAGTAAGCCCAAAATTCGTTACTTTGATCATGGACATATGAGGGTTATATTTCTTCTGCTGAGGATGGAACGAAAAGTACAAACATAAACAAATAAATGATTTTGAAGACAAAACAAGAAGCTCCCTTGTTATTCGTCTTATCTTAGATGAAGTGTTCGAAAATGATTGCATATAGATCTAAACTTTGACACTGTTTAGCATAGAATGAGTGATTTATCACTATCAATTTGATAAGTCCAATTTCTTACACCAGTTATACAAGAAAGAAATGTAGTTTCTGAAGAGTTTGATGGCAAAAATTGTATCGACAAACTGTAGTTATCCAAAGATTTGGAGTCAAGCTATTGTTTTATGTCAGAAGTCAAATTAATATATCACCCCCAGCTCCATCTTAAAGCCACTGCCCATAACAGTAACTCTTTCACTTAAACTTCACTTGTTGCCTAAAAATGAGGTTTCCGATCTTTCCATGGTTTTTCTTGATGACCACATTCTCAATCTTCTGCATTACTATCATTCCAGCTGACGGCCAATGTTTAGACCATCAGAAAACTTTGTTGCTCCAGTTAAAGGACAACCTCGAATTCAATTATCCTTTTTCAACCAAGCTGCGGCTCTGGAATCCTAGTACCGATTGTTGTGAGTGGGGTGGCGTAACGTACGACAATATGGGTCATGTTGTTGGTCTAGACTTGAGCAATGAATCAATCTCTGGAGGAATCCCCAATTCAAGTACTCTTTTTAGTCTCAAGTATCTTCAAAGTCTAAATCTTGCTAATAACATCTTCAGCTCTTGGCAAATTTCTTCTGGGTTTGAGAAGCCAACTAGTTTGACATACTTGAATTTGTCATATGCCGGCTTGACAAGGCGATATTGGAATTTCGCACTTGACAAGGTTGGTCTCATTGAATTTCTCTCATAACTACTTGGAAGTTGAGAACTCAGACCTAAAATTGCTTGTTTAGAATCTCATGAAGACCACAGATATAACGACGTCCGCTTTGAGCCTGAGCTCACACGGTTTTGCTCTTGGGCTTTACCCCAAAAGGCCTCATACCAATTGGAGTGACACACCTTCATATAAGCACTTCACCTTTTCTCTACCCAAGCGATGTGGGACTTGTGCATCCGTAACTTGACAGTGTGGTAGCCTGTCAGTGTCTCTCGCACTTGCCTACGGCACACCCGCCCACAAGGTCATCACAACAGAACTCCCGCCTTGATGGTGTAAATATATCATCCATGGGAGAGGAATGGTGCCAAGTCATATCTTCTTCATTACCTAATCTGCAAGTCTTGAGCTTGTCTTGCTGTCATCTTTTGTTATGAAATAAGGATCAAATAGGAGTTTATGAGAACAAGAGAAAAATAAATGACAAGAAAATAAAATGGCACACACAGAAACGAGATAAGGATTTACGTGGTTCGGCTATGCCTATGTGTACAGGGAGAAGACAGAACAATATTTCACTATGCAAATAAAGAGATACATAACAAAGTGGCTGACACCCAAAATCCAAATACACTCACACACTCATTTTATAAAGAAGACTCACTCAACATTCAAGAAATACCCCAAATAGTATATGGTTTACACAAAGAGAAAAACCCACCCAAATCCAAACTTCAACTCTCTCTTGAAGATTGTACACACATAAGGATTTTCTCACATACACAAAACTAATATACTCTCTTGATCCGAATATTGTCTTACTCTTAGACGTATCTCGGATACTTTTTATCGAATAAGTGCGAGGCTATTTATAGCCAAAAATATACTTGGTGTCCAAGTATATTACGAAGCTTCCTTTGGAAGCCAAATAACACTTGTTGCCCAAGAATTTCAAAGCTTCCTTCGGAAGCTAATTTGGAAGCTTCACCATCACACTTCTTTAGCCAAAAGATTTTTTCCATGTCATAAATGAATTTTAGACAAATTTCTAACAAATTTCCACATTGACTAAAATTCTCCACCTTGACAAAAATTTCGAATGAGCCACAAAATTCCATCCTTGGCAAAATTTCTCCGCCTTAACAGAAATGATAAGACAATATCATAAAGAGTCTTTCTTCAACGCAATATGAGTAATAAAAATAATCATCATCTCCAACACAAAACAAATTAATAAAGAATTTTAGTTAAATTGAAGTCATCCTCAAACTTAACCCTCGGGCTCTCATTCTTTAACCTATGCATGTCTTGCGCAGCCACAAGCATACCTCCAGTATTTGTGTCAAAGTCTAAATACTTACCAAAATCAACCTCAGAAATTCCAAGTTTGACATCTCCTTCAGCAACCTTCTCCAACCGCCCACAAACCACTGGTTAGTAGTGAAAAGTCATCTTTTTACTCTAATGGAGAATGGACATCCTTGACTTTTCCTTGCATCTTTGTTGTAACCAACTACTTGCCTCTCACGCATCTTAATGGCACTCGAATAAACTATCTCATTGCAATCAAGATTATTGCAAGTCAATATCACACCTGTCCCTGTAGGTCTGCATCCTTGTAAGGACTGCTGCAATTTCGGTTGCCATCTGAAAATTGGTTTCATTCCCCACTATGTTGTGTAGTCCCCTCACAACCATTTTGAGAACTAGGATTGTAACTCCTCTTTCTAATTCTTCCCTTGTAATACCCCTAATTTTAAGAAGATAGTTCTGGTATTTTAATTAAGTATTTAAATGGTTTTGTTGCTTGTTTATTTGAAATTATTTGAATTATTTGAATTATTTGTAAATTGTTGATTTTGAATAAATTAATTATGTAATGAAAATAAGTAAGGATTTAAATACGTTTTTTTTTATTTTTTTATTAGGGTTTTCTTGGAGACGGCATATAGGTATCTATTATGCATTAAAACCTAGGCTTTCTATGGGCCGATTAAATTACAGGCTAGGGT